AAAAAAACGTTTCCAGGATAGCGTGCGGTTTTTGTCGAGAATTACTTCCAAACTTCACTTGGTTCCTTCATTGCGTCTACTTTTATGTCCACTTTTTTTGCTTAAACCAAACGTTCAACTTTTCAGAAGAAGTACTTGTCATGAAAACATAGATTAAATACACATTTTGCTTGATTTTATAACTGTCTGAAGCGCACGCACCCAAAACATTATGTGGAAAGGGGGCATTACGTTCTGGGGCGGTGCTCTTTCTTTCATTGAGAAAACAAAGTTAGGCAATCAATGATTCTAAGATACATACCAAACGAGTCTTAATCACTAATCAAATAAAGTGTCTACTTTTATGCCTACCTTAATGTCTACCTTTATGTCTACATTTATGTCTACCTTAGTGCTTACCATAGTTTATGAGAACTTTTGTGTCTGCATTGTTGTCGACATCTTGTCAACCAATGTGTGTATCTTCATGTGTACTTCATCTGTCTACCTTTATGTATACTTTATGTCTACTTAAGGATTCATCAGTTGTCGGTTGTGCATACATAATAAAGCAAGAAAGCACATTAAAATACCGTTGAAAGAATTCTGATTAAATGTGAACAGAACCAACAACAGCAAGTGCAAATGGCAAAAAAACTGAGAACTCGAATAGGACAAAGAAAGCGATAATTTGTATAATACTGACTTACATAAATAAGTTTCGACGAAAAACGTTTAGTTGAGGGCAATCTTGATGTTAGTGATGAACGAAGAAGTAACGAATGATTGGAAAGGATTCTTAACGAGAATTGAACTTAACTTATGAAAAATCAAAGCGAAATCTCAACGAGAAAAACCACTTGACAGACGATGAATCGTACCAAGTGTCATAAAAAAATTTGATCAAAAGACTTAGTTTCTTTAAGAATGGTTTTCTGCATGGAATACTACCTTTTTCTCTTCGCTCTCCTCCTTCCTCATCGGAGAGCAATTTTTTCTGACATTATACTAAGTGTCGCATCCATTCTCGAAAAACACAGTAATAGAAATGCCATTTTGCTACTGTTAACCAGCACAACTTTAATTTCTCAAGTCGTCCTAGAGCCTAACAACATCTTATTCCGGACTGAGTCCAAATCTCCACCTTGCAACCTAGAAAGGATATGTCTTCTCACGAGACCAGACAGTTCGCTGGAGGTAGATGTTTAATTTAACGTTATATTCTTACTTTGTAATAATTAATGAAACAAAAATTGACCATTAAAGGCGTCGAGCCAATATTCTAACAAAATTTCGAGCTAAAGATAATGCAACAAAGCAAAAACATAATCGTAAAATCAAGACATAAAAGATTGCAAGCATGGTATAAATAATATGCATTAATGTTTGATTGATCATATACATCGACATTACACATAAAATCACTTGCCCAGGATAAGTTGTATCGAAAGACATAGAGACAAGTTTCTCTCTACAAATCTTTCCTATGCAGCCCGCTTCCATAGACTCCTGCATTGAAGATTTCTTTCTGCAGCCACTTTAATGTCATTTCAATTAATTTAATTTCACTTGTCGTTGTTAAATGATGATAACTTATTTCTGGCTTTACGTTGATGAATCATTCTTTAAACCAGCAAGCTAGATGATAAGTTCTTTGAACTATGTTGTCGTTCACATTTTGCAGTGTATTCTTTAGGAATGTCGTACATATTTCAAAAGCCATACCCAACTGGTGCTGATTTAAACAGGAGTAAAAATAACAAAGAAATGTTTTTTTTCAGCCGTAGTTTTACGTGTCTTCCAACATTATTATGTATGCATGACCGAACTAAGATGAATCGCACGGGACCTCTTTTAGTCTTTAAAACAAAGCTTCTTTGATAAAAAGTGTTAAGACAGTAATATTTGCAATTTAATTTGAATGGAGGATTTTTCCATATGATCAGCAAAAGGAGAAATTCCAGTAAGATTGCTCGTACGTTTGAGTAGAATTTGAGCTTCTTGTCTGTCTTTATTGTTGTAATTGTTTATGTACCCCCTTAACAATTATGTCGCCTAGCCTGTTCTTAGTTGCCCTGGTGTTATCCATGCGCGAAGACAAGTGAATGGTACAAAGTCTTCTAAGCACCAAATTTCTATCTTCTCCTGCAGTGGTTATGCAGCCCAGCTTTTTGAGATCAGCTGATTTGTTGATGCTGCTATTGAAGAAGTTGTATAATTTTTCTAAAACACCAAAAAACGTACGTTATGCCTTGAAAATTTCATTCAGCTGCAGGGGCGGATTACTCAGTAGGCTAAGTAGGCTGAAGCCTACAGGTCCGCCTTTTCAAGAGGCCCATTGTATTTAGACATAGTTTTTACCTTTTGCCTCTCGGGTGTAGCTAAATGTTCTAAAGTTCGACAATATACCCTGCTGAAATCTGTACCATCTGCTGTTTTAATACACAATGCACAGAAACTGAAAAAAGGAAAATGCAAAGCAAATCAGCATGAGAAATGAAACGTCCTCAGGAGACTGAACGTATCAGCAAGAATACATATCACTTAAAGACGCTGAACTTTGTCTTAGCCTATAGGCCCCATAAATAGTAATCCACTACTGTTCAGCTACATTATTGATAACCAATGTGACTAGCACAATGAACATATGGGGCTGGCGAATCTTTCAAATAGTCTGTTATAATAACCTTGACATTTCCTTTGTCACCTGACATGACAGTTGCTCCATTATATCCTTGCCTCCTTATTTTCTAAGGATTCAATCCAGCAGTAACGAGACAAGCGATAACTGTCATGACGCTCTAGCTCTGCCACCATCACAAGCTACAATGAAACAAATAAATGTTTCCCTAATGGAGACAATTGACGAATCAATCCATCTGATAATGGAAATCCGACCTACTCGACAACTATTAATTGTTTCCTATATTAAAGAAAATCAAGGAGCTTCTTTAATTTGATTGATGATATTTCTTCTTGTTACATCTCCAAGCATCTTGATAATTTCATTGTGAATTGATGGAGTTCTGAATTGTCTACTACGAGTTCTTTCAGAAAAGAATCGCCAATATCAATCTTCATTTTAATAAGTCCCAAGGAGTCAGATACTTCACACTGAGCATTCACAACTAAAAAATCTTGATGCCCACAATAAGGCAAACAAAGAGCAGCCAAAGTTATTATAATTGCGATTAATCGTGGCAAAACTTCTCTCCGAAAATTGGTTACTTTTTTTATGCCATTAACAAACAGCATATTTATTGCAACTATATTAAAGGGGATGAAATTTATGTCATACAGCTCAATGAGTTATCGGATAAGGAGGTATGGAAAAATTTAATGTCAGCAAATATTAGTCACTCTCCTCGTGCCTTCTACCCTGCTGTTGGAGATGCTTAGTATTTGGAAAAAAGTCATTTGGCCAGGGGGAATGAATGTTTTGATATTTAAAGCCAAAACAACCGCAGTGATGGATGTATGCTTTAACCTGAATTTTTGAGAATGTGATCCAGTCTCTCTTAATCTGAAAAGCTTGCTGCGCAAATTTTGTTTCCTTTTAATGTCAAAATCGTTCCTTTAGGTTGAAAACTTCTATGTTTGGCTAAAGTTAATTGTAGATCATTCGTCAATTCTTCATTAAAATGTTCCCCCTATCCAAGGGAAACTCGCAATCAATGTCAAAATCTTTAACACCAGAAACTAAAAAAAGTAAAAAAAGTGATTTAAACTGCCACTAAACAAACTAAATGCAAGTAGTAGTTTCGTCTAACTAGCATATGTTATAAAGATACTGTAACATGTACCTTTATTTTCCATGGATGAATCCATCAAACTCATCATGTAACATAAGACTGTTGTTGTGGTGTTGCATAATATTTGTCCAAAGATTTTATCGTCTTGTGACAGTTGTTGTTCTCTTGTGCCATCATTCTGTGTAGGAGAGTCCACCACATTTATATTGTCTTCTGACTGTTTTTGTAATCTTGTACAATCATTTACAACAAGAGGTATTTTTGCCAGACCGTCAAATTATCCGGCAAAAGGCACGAATGAAATCCCATGCCGATCAACACGTAAGTCATAAATAATTAAAGAAGGAAAACGCTTCCTTTGATGTATTATTTAAAAACTGCTGAGTGTTAGCTTTAGGTTTGCTCAGAAAGATATCATCAAAAGATTTCTCTCAGACCTTTTTCCATATGGTTTCTCTTTCAATCTATTTGAACGTGGTTAAAGCAACTTATTTTCGGCACATGAGAAACTTATATTGTTCTTTGTTTCAATTCTGTACATCTACTTTTTAAAAATTTCTTGAGATCTCGAAATTTGACCAGTTGGTAGAATTCATCAAGTTAAAAACAAAGGTAGATATAAAGACACAAAGACACAAAGCTAGACCTAAAGATAAACGTAAATGTAGACGTAAAGGTAAACACAGAGGTAAACAGAAAGATAGACAAAACGTTAAACACAAAGCTAGACAAAAAGATAAATGTAAATGTAGACGTCAAGGTAAACACAAAGGTAAACACAAAGTAGACACAAAAGTAGACATAAAGGTAAAAAAGTGTGGATACAAAAGTAGACATAGAGTTCTCTAATCTTTGGGGTGATTTGCAGGCACGACACGGACTACGCATCAATTTAACATCAATATCTTTACTTAAAAATTGCTTGTGATGAGCAGAGTTGGAATGGGACAGTTTTTAACTGTCGTAAAGACTCAATAATTGAACTTGATCGTGCAAATGGCACAAAACAATGATCATAACAATTACGTTCAATAATGCGCAGTCCAAGTCAATGTACGTAGGATATATGTAATGAAAGGAAAACATAGTTATTTTGTTTAGCAACACTGCATATTGTTTTTATGATTAGATTTAATAGACATACTGTAATGTGAACAACGAATGACAAACAATAATCGGGAACAATAACACCGTGATATTATTCACATCAATTTTTTGGTACTTATATGAGCTACAAGACCATATGGCAAACACTTGTTGTTTGGTTTGTGGGAAGTTGACGAACAAGACTACACAAAAACGACAAATATAACGTAATAAACAAATTTGTGGTTGTGCAAACCAAAGAAATGTTGTCGGTTTAAGTGTTGTAAACGACGAGTATCGTTAATTTTCTGTTCATTAACAAAAAAGGTCTCATTTTATCGCCGATGTATTTGAATGCGTTGATAAAAAATGAAGATTGTCAACATGAGTGATGGAAACAGAACAAGAAATGGAATTTATGACTTTGAAGAAACCTGTTCAAAAGCATATAAGTAAAGTTGAGCAATGAAGAGCAACTACATAAAGTAGTACACAAAAAGAAAGGAAAAGATTGGTTAGTAATTTGAAGTTATAACCATTACTCTATATGCAATATATATTTTAAAGAATTTTTTGAAATATTGTGTGATCATTGAATTTTTTACTGTCTTTACAATTCTTCAAACGAAACAGTAGCAGTTCCAATTTAGTGAATTTACCAAGTTAAAAATTTGTCTTCAGTAATTTCTAGCATTTTGATACTTATTGTTATTTCTACGGTGTAACAGCGAAAGATATATTATCTTAAAGGTAAACTATGTAAAATAAAACACGTAGATTGTAGTAAAGCAGTGAGAAAATATCTTTGTAAGTTTAAACGTTCATAGATGTCATAATATTTAGTTTAAACGTCTAAACTTTAGAAATTATCCACATGATATTTATTCACTCCAGTATAGACATACGTTCGTTTAAAAGGCAAAACTATTGCTGTAGCCTCTTGTCGTTTTTCAATCATCGAGGGAAGATGTGTCCATGCAGAGCTGCTTCCTATTTTAAAACATTCAACTCAACGAAGTACTTCATATGCCTCATTCTCACCTCCCATAACGACGATTATATCTCCTGTGATAACTGTAGAACACCCTTTTCTCTTTATTAACATGGATGGCAAGAATTTGATCTCTCCTGTCTTAGTGTCATACATAACAACACTGTTCATTATTTCTTTATCATTCCGACCTCCAAGAAGGACAACTTGATCTTTCCATTGAACTGTTGCCATTCTTGTCAATGGATCAGGTAATGGAGGCATTTCTTTGCATGTACGAGTACTTTAATCAAACTTTAAAACAATAGACAAAGCTTTGTCGTCTCTTCCAGATCCTTCAAAGTTCAATATATTATCAACGACAGCCTCAGCTCCATAGTCTCGTCAAGGCTCAGTCATATGACACAATTCTTTCAGAATGGGAGATGTTGTACCAGAGATCAGAATTTCACAGATCATATCAGATATTGTACCTCTATCACCAATACACCCTCCAATATGAATGATTTGTTGTCTAGAAATGACAGTTTGATGACCACATCACATATAAGAAAGCTGTCCAGATAATGTCTTCCATATCAAAGGAGATTGATTAATATTTAAACAGTTTATTGACTTTTCCGTGCTTCCTCCAACAAAAAAATGATCGTCATACAGAAATGAGGAAGCACGATAGTGATAATTTTCATTTTAGCAATCATAGACCAACTGTCCTTACTAAGCACAATCTATGAGATCAGATAATTCCCTCCTCCTGCAATCAAAATATCTTCTTTTCCTGTGTATTTAATTCCTGGAGAAGGTGATGATGGTAATGTTTGAATAGCTTGTTCATCTATATTCATCTATATTCATCTTTTTCATAATTTGAAACATCACAGCTTTTATTTTTTTTATTTCTTTGGTCATTATTGAAAGATTTTGCCGAACATCTTGTACTTCTTTCTTTGATTCAATTATTTTATGTTTCATCACTTCCACTGTCTCTTTCATGGGTTCGTGATATTTTTTGTCCATTTCAACTCTATCTTCATTCATTTTTTCTTTAATATCATCTATCTGGATTATTAATTCGTCGCGATTTCTTTTAATCATTTCTTTTATTTCTCCAATGTACTGAAAAGCAGTCTTTCTGTATTCACATAACTCATTTTCATGTCTAACTTTGTCTCGCTTATGTATAATCTTACCACAACCTTCGTTAGAACACAACACTGGAAAAAACCCACAATTTTCAACATTAATAAATTCAAGACAACCACGACTGGCAAAGTCGCAGTTTATCTTCAACTTTGAAATCATATTATTTACAATACGTGCAAGAAGAAGTGTAGCTGCAGTCAAAGTCTCTTGACATTCAGGACATTTTTGTGCATTGACTTGTAGGTGTTTTTCCATACAGTAATGGCAAAAAGATGTGCTCATAATGTTGGCACACTCGAGCATCTTTCACGACATTCAGACATATTGAACATCGAAAATTTTCGTTACAGGGCTTTCAAATTTCGATTCTTCATATCCACTTTCGTAATCATTTTGAAGGCTAGCCATTCTGTGATTAGTCAATCGAAAAGTGACACTATCAATCCAACATTTGACAAAATTATTTTTTCGTTTCGATGTTTTGAATCAAAAATATACGATGGAAATTCGCCTTCTTTCGACGTTTGATGACCGCATAATCTTTGACAAAGAATAACAATGCCTTGGCATTGATTGCAAGGAATTTATGTCAAGAAAACAAAGACAAAGATATAACAAAGAACTGAAGAGTACAATTGAAAGCAAGCAATAATAGTTATAAATTTTCAAATAAGAACGAGGCTTTTAAGTACAACCAAGGTAGAATAAAAGCAATTCAAGGTAGATGAAAAGAAAGTTGAGACTTTTTTAGTTTGTTGAATTTCTGGCACTCAAAAGTAAAACAAAATTTCGTTTTTCACATGTTTCAAATTGTCGCACATCATATATAAACTTGTTTTTCTCTGATGGCTGGTGGTATTTGCTGAATTATGGAGTGGTTGATTGAGTGATTCTTCTCGTTTGTAACAAAATGTCGTCATTCTTTGCATAAATTTAGAAAGATCGACGGTCGTTTCAAAGCAACAACTATAAGTCTTTAAAGCAGCTTTTAATGACTTTGAGTGGGAGGTGGTTAAGTGTTTGACGAACATGAATTTTTTTTGTAGTATCGTTGACTAGATTTCCGTGAAACAACTATTGCTCAAATGTCAAACAGCTAAAATAACGAGCTACTACTATATTTTTGGTTGGTGTTCAATTTTCATAAGTACTTATTTAAAACTCAAAAAAGTTTTTGTGTGAAATTATAAAAATGCAAATTAAGTGAAAGTATGTTAGATATTTTGTTAAATCTTTTGCATAACATTTTTTAGCATGTTAAGGAAAATTAAAAATTGAGGTATATGTGTTCATTGCTTGTGTGGCTCTTTTTGTTTGGTCTTTATATGCTTTTCTTAATGAACAAAACAGACAAAAAATAGTAGTATGTGTTTTTCTGTTTGTTTTTCCCGTTCTCAATGTTCTTTAGGTTTTTTAAATACCTTAAATAAATGAGAAGAGATATACTGAAGATTTTTGTAAGAGTTCAATTGATTTTGTAATTTTTATTGTTGTTTAACGTTAAAAGAGAAAGTTCATGAAAAGTGACGTATGTGCTTCTTTGTTTGTGTAGCTCTGTTCGATTGTCTTTAGGCTTTTCTTAAAGATGCAGAGAAAGATCAAGAAGATTTATCTTTAGACTTTTCTTTTAGATTCAAAAGACAATTGAATAAAGACTTTCGTAGGTATGCTTTTTATTGTTGTAATTCTTTTCAATATTTCTTTAACGTTTTCTTTTAGTTACAGAGAAAAATAAGGAAATCTTTTTTCATTTGTTCTTTGAGCTTTCTTTTTATGCAGAAAAAGATCAAGAAAATGAGGTATGTGTTCTTTGGTTTGTGTAGCCCTTTCTCTTTGTTTTTTAGGTTTTCTTTCAAAATCAGAAGATGATCGAAAGAAGACCTTGGTGAGTATTCCTTTGGTATTTGTTATCTTTTTACAATTTCTTTGACGTTTTCTTTTAGATGCAGAGCAAAATACGGAAAACTGAGGTATGTGTTTCACTGTTATTGTATATCTTTTTGCTTGTTCTTCAGGCTCATAGATCCAGAAAAAGATAAAAGACTGAGGTATGTATTTCTCTGTTTACGCCCTTTCTCCATGTTTAGGCTTTTCATTCAAATTCAGGAGAGAAGACCTTTGAAAGCATTGTTTGTTTTTTTGTAATTCTTCTCAATTTTAAAGGTTTTCTTTTAGATGCTGTAATATTAAGATAAGGAAAACTGACGTATGTGTTTCGTTGTTTGTTTGGCTCTTTTTGTTTGTTTATTTGGCTTTTCATATAAATTCAGAGAACGATCAAGCAAACTGAGTTTGTTTCACGGCTTTTGTGGCTCTTTTCATTAGTTCTTTTGGCTATTCTTGTAAAGAACAGAAACGTTAAGGAGACTGACGTATCATCACTTAGTCGTGTGGCCCTTTTTCTTTGTTCTTTCGGCTTTTCTTTAAGCTCAGAAGGCGATTGAGTAAAAACTTTTGTAAGTATGACTTTTATTTTTGTAATTCTTTTTAATATTTCTTCGACGTTTTTTTAGAAGCTGAGATAGATGAAGAAATCTGAGGTATGCGTTTAATTTCTTTTCGCATGGCCCTTTCGCCTTGTTCTTTAGACTTTTCTTTAGATTCAGAAGGTGATTGGGTAAAGACCTTGGTAAGTATGCTTTTTGTTGTTGTAATAATGTAATTCTTTTCAATATTTCTAAAACGTTTTCTTTTAGATGTAGAGAAAGATCTAAGGAAATCTGAGGTTTTCTGTTTCATTGATAGTGAGGTTCTTTTCATTTGTTCTTTAGGCTTTTCATATAGATATAGAGAAAGATCAAGAAGAGCATGGAATGTTTTAGTCTGTTTGTGTGGCTCTTTCTTTTCCTTTTTGCTTAAGATTTTCTTTTACTTTCAGAACACGATTAAATAAAGACCTTGATAGTTTTTTTTTTTTTATAATTCTTGTTAGTATTTCTTTGACCTTTTTTTAGATGCAGTGAAGGATGAAGACAACTGAGGTATATGTGTTTCATTGCTTATTTGCTTTTTGTTGTTGACTTATGTAGCTATGTGTTTGTCTGTTTTTGTGGCTGTTTTCCTTGTTATTTAGCTTTTCTTTCAGGTTCAGATGAACAATTATTTGAAGCTTTTGGTAATTTTTTTTTTTTTGTAATTCCTCTGACTACTTTTTTTTAGCCATTTCTTTTAAACGCAAAGAAAGATGAAGAAGACTGATATTACTTTTCCACATTTGATAGAAACGTATCTTTCAAGTAGAAGTTTAATGGAAACTCTGTGAATGCATTTACTAAAAGCACAAAGTGGAGATTATAGAGTTTCACCAAAAATGCTTTTCTATACAAGAAGCTAAAACAATTGTATCTGAATTAGCGTAAAATAAACATTTGTGTGTAGTAAATGTTTTTATTGTTTTTTTGGACAGGTTGGTGGCGAAACAATTGTTTCATTGTACCAAAGAAGTTATGATCTCAAAATTGTCTGTGGTGAGGACAAGAGGGGCGTCACATGCCCTTTGCAAGCCATACTATCCGACAAAAATGAATGATCAACGTGTGAGACAATTCTATATCGCTGTATCGCTAAAAGAACTTTGTGAAGCCATAATCTTATTGCACAGATGAAAACTTTAATTATAAACTCTGCTGTAGAAGATAGGCGGGGTTACATAAATTCAGATTTGAAATGTGAATGTAATTTTCTATGTATAATCTGTGATAAAATTTTAAACAAGTAACTATATAAGTAAACAAGACGTATGTGTAGAAGTTATTGAACTACTCTGCTTTTGATATTTTACAATGACGTAATGGCGCGTCAGATAATATAACGTCATATTTTTGGACATGAAGTAGAGCGCAAGCTGCGCATTGAATCGCAGGCTCAGTACATTTTTCTCGGGAAGGAAAGACAACAAAATAAATATTTAGAAAGACATTGAAACCATTACTTCTGACTATGAAATAGAGAATTATGAGAGCTATGGAAGTGGTGAAGAAAACGAGGTATGGGAGTTTATTACGTTTTTTCTGTGTATCAAAGAACAGTTTAAAACTAGTAATGTTTTTTAGTTGTTGCTAGTGAAGGTGATTCATGCGTAAAACTTACACACGTCGTTATAATTAAAAAATAATCCCACTAAAATATTCATTTTCTTCCTTCATTGATATCAAATTAATGGCATTCATTTTTCTGCTATATATCTGCTGTACAATTACAAGTCCTGCATATTTCATGCATGGAATTTTTTCTACGTAATAGTTAATCCATCTCTTTTTAATACGATAAGGACTCAGGACTTTGACAGACATTGGACACCGAATTAAGTAACTAGATTATTTTAGCAATTTCTCTTGAAACTAATTGAGCTACAACATTAATGTTTCTCTGCTATAGTTAATTTGTTGGAGCACATCTTTTGTATCAATAACAAATTTTTAGCACAGAACAATATTTATAAGAAACAAACTTGCCAAAAGTTGTTTGACTGATATTACATGACAAACAATACATTATTTGGTCACTTAATAATTTTACATTTCATATTAAACCAGTCAATCAACTTATTTTATAGTGAAAACAATAAATACTATTTTTTAACAATTTGAAATGATTTAATGTAGAAGCAACAAAAAATTCGGAATTATACATGTCTTTATTTGCATATTTGAGTCATTGTAAATGAACCATGCTTTTTAAAACACATGGTTTTTTACTCAACAACAATTTGCTTGAAACATAACTTTTTTATGTTATTATAAAGTGCTTTGATTGATTATGAAAAAAATTTTTGTGTACAAAATGGAAATATTTTCTTTCCATGAGAAGTGGTCACACTTTGGCATGGAATTATTTACGACTGTTTTGTGGTTAAAAATCTTGTTGGTGCATCTCGTCAATGACTTGTGTCAAAGTGACTTTGTATGCTGTTATAATGACTAAAAGGTATTGCATACAAAAAGTATATGTCAAAAGAAATGCATGCATTAAACTAGTTATTTATATGTGTGTGCAAAACTTTCATGATAATATTCAGTTACATTACTATGAAAGCAGCTGTTGTAACATAATGTGTGAATTTATTAACACGACAAAAACCAGATATTTTCTTTTAGTTTTATGACACTGACTTGTGCAAAATCATTTGATTTGTGTTTCCAAGCAGGGGATACAATGAAATGTAATTTTTAATCATTTGCATCTGATATAGTATTGTTTTTTAAAGCAAAGAAAAGGCGTTTTGAAGTAATAGGTTTATCATACATCTTGGCATGTTACACCATCTTCATGTTTGAATTAAAAAAATTGTGGTTTATATAAGAAGACTGATGACCTTTGCGCTATTACAAAATTATTTTGAAGAAACATTTTGCATTGAACACAACTTCGTTCTTGCCAGTGCTGTTCACCGGAGCCGAGTTGAGCTCAAAACAAAAACTCCGGCAATGAGATCTTCATAAACGTCTAATACGGCAAGCTGTTATTGTTGATTAAAAGTAAAAACGTCCATTATTTTATGTATGACATACAGCAACGCTAGTCAATATTACTATTTTTACATTTACAAGTACAAATGGCCGACACTTTCACTTACATTTTGACAATATCTTCTTTGTCGTGTCCTCCATCGCATAAATGACGTCTAAGCGAGTTTTTTCCTCTGGCTGGGACAAAATTTACTGAGAAACGGTACGCTCCACTTTCAAATTTCATGTATTTTCGGACATGTAAATTTTATACCGAAGCTGAAGTTTGTTTGAACCATGGTTTGAACAGAAGCGAAGCTTCTTAGTTTAGGCGGGAATTTTTTTAGCTTGAGTGTTCTCGGCCAGAGCCGGAGCTTTTTCGGCTAGAGTCGGGATTTTCTCGGCCAAAGTCGGAGGTGGTACAAAAAGTGTTTTAAAATTTAAACTGTTTTTAGAAATCTTCACAAAATGTTGAAAGCAATTGCACAGAAGAGCAGGTTGAAATGAATGTAAGTTCAGAAATTCAAGATTTTAATGAAAACAATCACGGTGTTCGCGTAAGATAGCAAAAGTATCCTAAAAAAATATGAAAATTTTGATGTTTATATAGGGGATCATCCTTTTATGATGTCAAGCTCATTTTTGGTTACTTTTTGGGCAAAGATCTTTTTGGAAGAAGGTCTTATTGACATGAACATGTCTGGTTCAAAGGTATGTTATTACCTGATTGTTGAATATTTGGGTATTCTTGTTTTGCCCTACACCATGTAATTTCCTTCAAAAAAACACAGCCATAGACTATCCTCTATTGCCATGAAAAGTCAATTTTACATTTTCGTGAGAAACTTAAATTTTTAACGTGAGAAACTTAAATTTCTCTATGTGTTTCATTTCGTATAAGCTTTTTTCCATGACAACAAAACAATCAATTAAAGCGCTTATATTGATGCTGAAATTCTTTAAAATTCACTGCTCTTGAACAAAACGCTTTCACCTCCATTCAGTATATTTACAATTGCTATTGAATCTAGGAATTTAAATAATTTTATATTTACATTAAGTTAGTGCATGTACAGGTTTAAGTCGTATGTTGACGTGCTGTCCGCTTTCTTGAGCATTACTTATATATCAGTCAATAATAAATAGTTTGTAAGCTGCAAGGGTTGCTTAAAGTTAACGTTTGTTCAAAAAGTAAATGTATAAACAAAATGGTTCCTTTCAGACCTTTCTGCATGCAATGGCTACTCTCTCAATCTATTTGAACTCGGTAAAAGCAATATTGAAAAAATTTTAACGTGTGAAACTTATATTTCTCTATGTGTTTCATTTCGTATAAGCTTTTTTCATGACAAAAAAAACAATCAATTAAAGCGCTTATATTGATGCTGAAATTCTTTAAAATTCACTGCTTTTGAACAAAACGCTTTCACCTCCATTCAGTATATTTACAATTGCTATTGAATCTACAAATATAAATAATTTTATATTTACATTAAGTTAGTGCATGGTTTGTGCAAGACATGATATTTAACTGTGGTCAAACGAATTATTTCTACTGCCCGGTTTTCTACTTCTGATTAAAAATGGTTCACTGAAAAATGTTTCACTGTCACTGCCGTCTATGAACTTGAGTATTACGACAAGTTGAAACAAGTTTCTTTTCTCTGCATTCACGGTGGCCAGTTTGTATACAGGGTTTCCACCGGGTGTTGTGTACACTGAGTCGAGATCCACTGAATAATGTTGCTGTGAATGAAAAAAAAATGAATGTAAGAATCATTGTGTGCAATACATGATTAGCTACGTGATGTTGATTTTTGAAATCAAATCATCCACTAAATCTCGCGTCAGTCTTTTTAATGCTCGCGTTCGTTTGATGCTATATCAATTTCATTTTAAGAGAATTGTTGATTTGTCTGGTTGGGATTCACTGTTCGTTCACACATACAAGTTTATAAGAAGAAAAGGTAAGGCACTATAAACTACTTTTAAGCTCACTTTACACGTAGTTGCGATATTCGTTATGCACAGATAGCTTGATATATGATTCGCGTTCTTAAAACTATTGTTGTATTAAAAAAATTATCAATAGAAGAAGTTACAACTCCTACCTGATTTTGAAAGTAGTCTTCATGATTGACTTCAAGTGGTATTCTACCGTTGACGTCTCCGCACAATGCTGCAGCTTCGGGCATGCGCTGTACAAACACGTTCATGCCACATAACTGCCCTTCCGATGTTGCTTTTATGTTTATTGTACCACAAGCGACTCTCTGATGCGAACCACCTCCCGCTCGACTCTGTACTTTTTCGTAAATTTCTTTAAGATCTGGAAATTCGACCATCGATGTTGTGGTCACAGCCTGGTGTAAGGTGTTAAGGCAGCTTGTGTAGTCGTCGACTTCGTTTAAAAGGTTTGAATCTTTCATTGGAATGTTTTTGCTTTCTGGACAATCTTAAATGAACATACGAGTTTTCAATAAATGGTTGGAATTTTATTGTACATTTTAAATAACTGAATTCCTTAAATATGTCTCAGAATATTTGCAGGGAGAGTGTATGATTTCTCAAACAAGAAAAAAAACATGGCACCCAACTTTAAAGTCCATGTACATTGTATAGCATCTTTTAAAAATTAATCTTTGATACAATTAGGTAAAAACCAAAAAGGTCTAATTCACGACTACTCAAGGAAAGTGTTTTTTTTTGTTTATCTAAAATTTGAACTTAAGTTTTAAACTGTTCTCTCTACATCCAGTGAGTGGATCTTTGCACAAATCATGCATATGATCATTTTCAGCAATTTTTTTTCATCACTGGGTCAGCTATATGAAGTCTGTACATCGGTATAGAAAAATCAGCTCTATGTTCTATTTTAGTGATCTTAAATAGCACAATTAATGTTTGTTGTAACTGCATGTAAAATCTCATTTTAATTAGGGTTGTTTCACAGTGAAATGTTTTACAGTATTCCATCAGATTTTCGTGCGTGTAAATAGGGTAAATTAGCGAAATCTGACTCACAATAAATAATCATATTCAACAACTATAACATATCCTGTAATTTAATAGACCTCTCTCATTCTATATACGATTGTCACTGTGCTGTGTATCAAAAGCACTCGAAATCCTTTTTTTATAAAGTAATATTCTTGGTTAGCCCAAGTGCTTTTTTTTCAAAATACTTCTAAAAGTTTCTCAGTAAATTCACTTACATGTCATGAATTCTCGCATGAATTCTTCAAAAATATCACTTTCGCAGAGCGATGAGATATTTTCCAACAATCCACTCTTCGAGAGCAACTTGTACACTTCGAAGAAATCCTGTGAGGTGATCTGTCTCAAAATGGGCTCTTCCATCGAACTAAGGGTCTATGCGTGATCGCCCGCTAATCTAATCCACTTGAAATTGCTGAGGACTTTACGTAATTTTTTTTTCCTATTTGCTCTGATGTTTACAAATGTCGACATAGAATTAAATCATCTTAAAGAATTGTTAGACTTTTGTAGTCATATTTAACAATGCTGTAATGTTGGGACTTTACCAGGAATTGCACATTTCCCGTTCTTCTTATGCATGCATATTAATGTCAAAGTTGAAATAGATCGTGTATCGTCTTTGTATGAAATTACCAGGAACGCGTACTCTTTTTAATTTTATTTTTATTCGCCTCACGAATTTGTAGACGAACTTTCTTCACACTCGTCTTGTAAGGTCTTGTATTTGCGAATCTGTACAAATGTAAACACGAGTAAAGCATTTGTAAATTATGATGATTTTAAAACTTTATTGTTAGGCAAACGATTAAATGCGTTATGTTAGTATATACGAAGCTCGTCTCTACGAACGGAAGCTTAATAAATGTGTTTATACGTAATGCTTGCGATTAGGAATTCTTGCAATGTTTTATAGAAATGAATTTTACAAATTCTGGTATACAGGGGTGGGGTGACGTTGGAAGATATTGACGGCTTTTGTCTAACGACATGACATTAAACGTATTTTGCACAATTTGAAATTACTTTACTAATGTAAAGAAACATATTTAATAGTTAAGATACAGGGTTATTGTTGATCTTCTCAATGTCCTTGGGTATGATCTTAATGTAGCACACCACACCCCCCCCCTGCTCGTTGTCGTTCGTTATGCATTACGAGCTGATTCCTGTCTGAACTGGAATATTGCTGTAGTTGAAATGTGATAATTAAGAAGCTTATTGATCTTACAAAAAGTTCGTTGGACTTCAAATCGTCTTTAAATATATCACAGTGTGCTTTGATTTGAGGGTAAATTCAAAAAGTTTATATGATTGGGTGAAGTCTTTGTTGAATTGATGATCAACGGGTCTTCTATAGTTATAAGTAACGTTTTCCATTCAAAAAGGTAGCCTTCTCGACCTCTCGATAATTGATCAAAATCCAGCCAAAAGCAGCAGCAGAGAACCTTGAGGTATTTATAAGTAGAGTTAAAGGTCAAGAATCCAGCCAAGGTATCTTTATTGTGAACAAAGAGTCTTTACGAAACATCACACGTAGCTATGGTGATGATGGCGATGTGGCTACGTAAAGTTCTTGGTACGTTGTTAAAAGTATCTTTATTGTCTTTATTATAGTATTTCTGAATTTCGTGCTTCTGAGAACGAAAATTACGAGAGGTTTTTCCCAAGAAATAAGCATTGATTTTCAATCATATATGATGAATGCGACGTCAGGACTGGTTTATCTGTAGTCAAAGGGGCAAAGCTACAGCAATTTATTGGGCTCATGCACGATTGTCATAGGTATGCAACTTATAATTAAACTGCTAAGTGGAAAATTTCCTTCCCTTATAATTTCTGATTTGCAGAATTTTGAAGTAAATGATTCAAAAATTCATTAACCGAATGATTTTGTCTTTCTTGATAGTGTTTCTCGTAGAGTTCCAACTACATATATAGTTCCAAATATTATCATTTGTCGAGGTTCAAAAATCGATGTTGCATTCATACTCAGCAATAGCGCGTATGGCCAGGCTTGGCACAAATATTATGGTGCGTGAGAGGGAATTTACTGAGGAACATGCAGTCATACGGATGATATTTATTTTCAATCTCAATATATGAACTTTGCATGGCGAGCAAAAATGATCCGTTGGATGAAATTTTCCATGCGCTAATTATTCTCGAAATGTGCGAGGTTTAATTTGAAATCATCCCCCCTCCCTTAAATATGTAAGAACAGATAACAAATTTGAGCTATTCGATGAATGTTGCTTATAATCTAAACTTAAATAATTTTTCGTTAAAAGTACTTTTCCGTGTTAAATGAAAATAACTAGCGTATGTCCAATATATTCAAAATTTGAAATAATGTATGTGAAATTACCCATTGTGTTTTGCATCATATTTTTGATATCAAATGCACACACTATTGTATTTTTAATCGCTCACTTCAACGTTAATAAATGGCAATAAATTTTCTATTGGTGTTTTATTGACTTCGAATAAGCGTGATTGACAATTGGTTTTCATTAAATTCAGGCCCCGTTTACACTATACCGGATTGCTATCGTAGCAGGTTGAATATTCTTTGTATTAAAAGACAGTGAAAATGTTCAACGTCAGAAACACAATCAAATAGACTAAATCTATCAGCTTAAGCTTTTACTCCGAACAGTTAACCCTTTAAAGCAAATGAAGATGTCGTGATGAGCGAATCCGGTATAATGTAAACGCAGCATCAGTTGCGAAAGTATTATATGCAAAACACGCGTTTTCATTTTGTTGCTAGAGTTTTGACAACGTTGTGCATTTCTTGGATGATTTGAATTCAGTAACTTTCGAAGTCGACGGGGAGGATTTTGAATGCACCTCGTGAATAGCGAACAAACATCGGGGCGGTCTTTTTGAAGTCCATGCATGTAGCTAAAACAGAATATTGAAGCAAATGTTTGCTGTATCGTCGAGGTACGTTTTTAATCGCTAAAATTGTTGGGTCTAGTTGTATTATCGAAAACTGCTGGATAAATACTATAACAAAATGGAAACTGAAGAATCGGTGCTATCTTTGCGTTTTGGACATACTTTATAATGCGGTGGTGTTCAGTTGAATTTCATAGCTCTGACTGTACATTCTGTCCTTCTATGCATTCCGTGCATAACATAAAGATGAAGAGAAAAATTTCACAAAAATTAATACAACTTCTAATAATAACTTCTAGTGCAAAACATCGTCAAAAAATTAATTTCTTAGAATATCTCTTCTTCAGATTATATTACGTATCTGATTATCGAATCTGTTAATGGTATTATATAGCTACTTGGAATCTGTTTTCAAAGAAAATTACTATTTATTATTAACAAAAACTGAAGTTGAAACGGAAATAATTGCCGCAAACGAAATGGTATTTAGCAACGTGCCCACTCATTAGGTTGAAAACTATCAAAAAGACTTTTTGTCACAAGCATTTCTTGGTAGATAATTTAGCTGCAACAAATTCACTTCTAAAACAATAGTTTCAAATCAATGTGTCAGTTTGGTTTTTTGCGTGCTCTCCATTTTAGTTGGCTGTTCACGTTTTGTGTTCAATTTGTGTCTACTTAAGTGTCCACTCTTCAAAGTGAATGGTTTGAACTTTGAACACGGGAGTATCGTTCCATGTTTGTAGATGTAGATCGTCCAGGTTAGTAGAGTCCTTATAGAAGAGCTGTTGGTGTTGATCATGTCGAGTTCAAGTGACTCTTAAGATGACTACCGCTAAGGTTGTCGAAATGTCAGTCAACATCAACACCAACAGTCCTTCTCAGGACTCTACTAACCTGGACGATTTGCATCTAGAAATGTCCACTCTTCGTTATAGAAATTGCACAACAAAATTCGCGAGTATTAACGAGTTACCCATGAGTTTTATAAGCAATGTCAACGTATATTTATATTTACTAATTTTGTATAACTCAGTTGTAGTTTGGAGATTGTCTGATTATTTCCATGAAGAGTTCTTGCCAGCGAAGTTTTGTAATCGCCAAGGCACGTATCTCCTTTAAGTACTGAAAACGATTTAAGCAAAGGTAAAATTTTGTCTTTTATCGACGAAGAGTCTTATATAAATAAAGAGTATATTAAATGCTTGTTTCCCAAAGCACTCTGCTTTTCGTTTCAACTTGTATGAATACGTTCCCAAAGCACTCTGCTTTTCGTTTCAACTTGTATGAATACGTTCCCATAGCACTCTGCTTTTCGTTTCAACTTGTATGAATACGTTCCCATAGCACTTTGCTTTTCGTTTCAACTTGTATGAATACGTTCCCATAGCACTTTGCTTTTCGTTTCAACTTGTATGAATACGTTCCCATAGCACTTTGCTTTTCGTTTCAACTTGTATGAATACGTTCCCATAGCAGAAGTATAAATTGGGGGTAAAATCGAATGTTAATTGAAAGGAACAATATTCATATCTTCTGCCTTTTGTCAGGGTGATTTCTTTTGAAAACGATTTCATTTTCAAAAGAAATCAACCTGGCATAGCGGAATATAAGAATATGGTCCCTATCAACGTAGGATTGACGACAGTGGACGTATATCAGATGAAAATGTAGAAACCAAAGTACAATGGCGACAGAACAAATTTTTCTCTCAATCAATCAGGTGTCTTTGATCTCATTTTTCTGTTCAAGAATGCGCGAGTCAATAAAACTTCGAACAGTGGAAACAATGGTTGAAACATCAGCCATTGCACCCATTCCTGTGAAAAAGAAACAGAAAAATATATATGTTTCAACTTTTTGTATTTGAGCAGCAGCTATAGAAGAAGTACCGAAGCTTTTGTCAAGTCAAATTTAATTAAAATGACGACATTTATTGTAAAAAAGCTACCACATAGCGACATTTTATTTTAAATGAAGCAAACCAGCCCCCCTCCCCCTCTCCACTAGACTTTCACGCGTAACCATATCATAAAGGTGACCAACAATTTGCCTGGGCTCAATACAACGACCGAAATGTCTCAGGTCAAGATGACTGGTTTTCGACAAGTCGCTAATACATATAAATTACATGTTTGTAGATATATATCGTCCTGAGAAGGACTGTTGTTGTTCATGTTGACTGACGTTTTGACAAGCTGATGGTGGTTATCTTCAAGGTAAAACGAGTAATACATTTCTGCTTGTAATCCTCGCTTGACTCTGAAGATAACTACAGCTAAGGTTGTCGAAACGTCAATCAACACAAACAACAACAGTCCTTCTCAGGACTCTACTAAAATGGACGATCTACATCTACAAACATGTAACGATACTCCACCCAGGGTTCAAACCATTTGCTTCATAAATTGAACCGAAAAACGTAAAAAGATAATTTTTTGAGACAAAAAAAACTATCGAAATTGACGTTTTTAATCTCTTAAGATGTCATTATGCATCGCATGACTATAGTATTTTAGGAAAGACGTAAAGGTGATAATGACCGGCATGGTAAAAATTAGCCGGTCATTATCCGTTAACCTGCAGCTATTCCGAGCCCGGTTTACATATCATTTTTAACTTTCAGTAATATGTTGTAGCTAGGTCACAATACCTGTATCTCCGCACGCTAGCGTCTTGGAAATGGGCGGAATTTGTTTGTAGTTTAAACACTCAAGTTTTTTATTTTGTTCGTCAGTTAACGGATGTTGCCACATGTGGGTATTCATGGCAGGACAATAAAAAATTGGTTTTGTCAAGTCCCATGCTCTCGCCACGCATGTCTAGAAGAACGAATGATGTATTTCTTCAACATGATTTTAATGCCCATTATCCTATACAGTAAATGATGATTTTCCAATCCAAACACCACACAGAAAGATTCCCCCTTCCTCCTCGAGTTACAGTGAGTTTCAGATAGTTAAACACAGCTTTAGTTTGACTTATCGTAACTTTCTAAATGCCATGTAAAAAATGAGCTCACTCGTTCTTTAAAAATGCATGCATTGTTAGTTGAATTAAAATATACCCAGTTTCAAAAATAGCAGTAAGTGAAGCGATAGCATCAGTTCCACTCACTATTCAACAACAGTTGTCGATAACCTTTTACGTGTAAAGCGGTTTGAAGATTGCCAACGTATTTGTATGAAAACGGAGCAATCGCGATTGAGCTTTTATAGGCTTCCCGCGATTTATTCATCTTGCTTTACAATAATTTCACTTAGAAAGGAGCTTTCTTTTTGTGTGGCGTTTATACACGGATATCCATTGAACGAGCTTCAATTTCTTTGCTCATTCTAGCAATACATACCAATAAATTATCACAAATTCCCTGTGAAAGTTTTGCCATTGTGTTAGCATCTAGTGGAGCAATCAGAAATACATCCGCCCATTTTCGTAACTGAAACAGCGATACAAATCTTGAGTTTCGGGCGTAAAACCAATACTATGTTATATTTCTTCATGATGACGTCACTGTCGTTGTTCAATACCTCTATATGAAGTACAGGATCTCCGATTACATTCCACGTCTATGAAAATGTGATTTTGCGTAGAATTAGAAGGGGATGCGGGCAAGAATTGATTTCTTTTACGGGGAGCTAGGTTGGCTAATATTTGATAAGGATGTACTACAAATTAAAAATTGTTTGTTTTGTCAAAAAAATTTAGCAATAAAACTAAAATGTTCACTGAAAGCATTTTCTTTATTCAGAGACAAATGTTTTTTTGACTGGCATTTTCTTGTAAAGGTAGAAATAACTTACAGCTGTATTCCCACAATTTTTAATCCCCAACATCCCCTGTTTCCCCTCCATGACCCATGACCACCCCTCCAACCTCCCACTTTCTCACCACCACCCTTTCACCCCCATAATCCCTCATGACCTATGCTATATTTATTAAAACAGACATACTTGCCATTCATCTTTGTCCTCGTATATTTCAATAGGAATCAAAGCTCGATCAAAAAAATGAAAAGAGTTTTGAGTGGCTAACAGTTTTAGTTCGACCTGAAAAAGTGATTTACATGACCAATCAAAATAATGAAGGCACATTCTTGAGAATATTGCTCCTACACAGTCTTCCTCATTTCTCCTCATCCTCAATGGCGGAACAATAAATAATAAGCTGAACAATGAGGTTTTTAAATAAATGGAGATTCATCGTTTGGGTATTACAATGAATAATAAATAAGATCAGTTTAGATCAATAATCAATCTCGCGACAACAGAACGAACGGCTTATTATCAAATAATATCGAATCTTTAAGTATAATCTAAGGAAAGTGCAAACCTTTGGTATTTCCAGTAGCTTTTCTACAAGGTTTGGAAGCTTTATAGCTGCCACACTTCCCGTTACGCCGACAAGAATATGAATTTTCGATTTGTAATTAGTTTCGTCCGCCATATTTATCCATCTAGCTAGTCACCAACCCCCTGTGCAGATACACGACAAAAAGGACAAGGTAGTACAAGTCGTGGTACAAGTATTTTGTAATGTAGGACATTGTTGAACAATATTGAACAATGAAGGGCAATGTTAATATTTTGACAATATTTTGCAATGAAGAATAATTTTGAGTAACATATGGGAATTATGTTTCACCTGCAATCTTTGCATAAAAACTTCACAGCAGTTTTAAAATTTTAAAAATAGCAAATCAGCTCATCCTCATGACTAACTCATTATTTTTAACAAACTTCATTCAAAAAAATAAATCATTTATCATTGAATAAAATTTAATCATCCATTTCCATTTTCTCAACATCTTTCATGACTTGGGAGATTTTCTGTCCAGCCGTCTTCTTTAAGGCTATATAAAAACAACACAATTTCAAATCTGATTCTTTAAACATTATTTTCATCCGACATTTTCGATTTTACCTGGCTTTGGTTTGATCAAGTTGATATTCATTTGTACTTCTTTGTAATCAGCTTCATCTAATAACTTTTTGCTAGTTTTTAATCTAAGAAATTTACATAAAAACAGTAGTTCATGGATTTTATTAGACAATTATAAGGACACTATGTCTCCATTACAAACCTATTCTTAATGAACTGTTTCTGCCGTTTCTCCTGGATTTCTGATATCCTCTTCATTGCCTTGACTAATGTTTAAAATAAATAACTTCAATCCTCTCAACTTGTTCAAGATAACATTAAAACACTTACCAGTTTGCTTTACATTCTCATTTGAGTATCTTACTGGAATGTCACGTTTCTTTTCAAACTCGAACGTTGCATCCTTTGAGAAAACAAAATGCCCTTGTCAGTTTAAATTGAAGATATTCTAATCAATACTTGCTTCAACTTACAACAGCTAGTTCTTTGCCAGAAGCCTTTCTGAAAGCTTTGGTCCATCGAACTTTTCTTGGATTGCGTTTTCTTTTGAATGCTTTATGACATTTTGCTCGACAGAATCGAAATACCTTTTAATATTTGTGATTGTCTTTAACATTGCAAACACTACTGTCATTGTATGTACAATATCTTACTACTTTGAGACTACATATTGAAATTGACAAAGTAAACAAAGTAGAAAATGTAAAAATCATAGCTATCCATAGAAGAACACTACTGTCATTGTATGCACAATATCTTACTACTTTGAGACTGCATATTGAAATTGACAAAGTAAACAAAGTAGAAAATGTAAAGATCATAGCTATCCATAGAAGAGCTTTTGGAGAACAAACACAATCATATGAAATAATGATATTGATCTATCATCAATATTTATGTTCAAAATGATTCAATCTCCTTTTTACTCATTCATTCAATCATTCATCTCAATCTCATTACTCATTCATCCTAAACAATAACATTGTGTGCAGATTTGTCGTGTACCTTGCTGTCATTTCGCACAAATGCTATCCCATGTCCTGGCCAGACAGTCGATGAACAGAAATAACACTTTTCTAAACGCATTTTGTGTTTATTTAAATTGTGTTATAATGGAAAACTTAAAAACATTGAAGATCAATCAAGAATGGTTAAAAAGAGCGCCTTCGCACATCTTTTTGATGCTCAGCGGATATTATCATAATGTCACGTGTTTCGGTCATTTATAAGCCTGCGAGCATTAAAACAGCAGCTATACGTTAAATTAAATTGTAAAATTTCCATCCCCCAGCCACTGCCCCCAATAAGCCCATCAGCAGTAGCATACGTACGTCATTTCCTCCGCAGCCATTACATCAGCAAAAAGCAATTTTCGCCAAGCTCGTTGTTTACAACGTTTAAAAATACTTTAGTTTATCTCTTTATCGAATAAATCTTTACAATATCTCCGCATCAGTGTTGGGATGGCAGACGTAGCGGACGACTTCGAAGATTACAACTGTGACGAAAGTATTCACTCTGGTTCACACTCGAGAAAGGGAAAATCAAAGAAAGAAGCTGGGCAAAATAAACACCAACATGGCTATCCGGGACACGAAAGAAAAATAACGGAGAAAATTGGAAACGCTGAAGACAAACGTAAAGAGGAACGAAAGGCACATGATTCTTGCAAATAAAGATACAGCTCTATAGAACTTTCATTGATAACGAGAAAAATATAACAAGTTTTACAAATTTATACGTATGTCCGTTCTTCACAACAAGAAATGGGTGACTTTATATTGTACACATCGTTGTGTTTTATAGATAATTGCATTGTTTTTGAAGAATTCTTGTGTTGACATTTTGCGCATTTATTAAAATCAATGGTGGAATTAATGAATAAAAAATAAGGAAAATATAAATTACTGCACGTATCACGCACATGGTTTGTTTTTTTTTTATGGTAAAATTTGTTAGTTTTGATTTATTAATATGGTATTAATGACGTCACTAAAAATCGTCCCCAGACCCCAGTTCTAATTATGCGCCAGTCCAATGTGGTCCGGTGTTGAAGTCTAAAATGTACATGTGAGTCATGGCCGAGTGGGGTAAGTTATATATTGTATTTCTACGTGTTATTTTGTTAGCTTGGAAGTATATCTTCGTTTTGAGTGTTGCACTTTATATTTTTTTGTTACTACTGAGTTTGTGAACGGCCATAATTGCATATATACCGATGTCTTTATCAAAACATTTTTGTAACATTCATTATGACATGACGACACACTTATCCGAACATTTCGACAGACGATGAGGACTTCGAGCCTGGCGAGCTGACGGAAGAGAAGGGAGATGCTTGGGAAGGAGAGGATGAGGAAGAAATCAAAGTATATTACTTTTAAAAATATTATGTTGTTTAATCATTGACATAAAACAAGCATTTTGTTAGGAAAATTGGGATGATGAAGAAGAGGAACAAGACAAGCTTGACGAAACAGGTTGATACCACATATTTCCTTCCCGTTTTGAGGTACTAATGCACAGAGTAACATAGAGATACTTATTTTGGTAAAGAAGTGCCTTTCCATCATATTTATTTCAAGTGCACTGAAATGAGCCACTTCCTCCTGTTTTTATTCATATACATTTGTGAATTCAGGAGGGGAGTTGGTGCTGTAATCATTTGAACTTGTCATTTTACGCCAACTTTGACTATCTCTGTGGTGCTCTGCGTGACAAAGGCTTAACAACTAAGGGGCCGATTACATGAGGCAAGTTGTCCTGCTTAAACAGGTCAACTTCCCTAGCCAAGATGAGTTAAAAATTGCAATGACATGAAAGTTGTTGACTTGCATGGGATGCTCTCCCCATGATTGTTAGTAAAGATGCATATTTGCCTATCTGTTTTGTCAACTTTGCGGGACCAAATGTATTTTCTCGATATTTGTGAGCCATAATCACATGTAATACTTCACAGCTATTGTTTATTCTCATTAAACTGAGTTGTTAAAGTAAATATAAGTTTTACATTTTAATAATGCGCCCAGTAAATCTTTTCTTAATTTAGCATCCCTTTCAAACTTCTGGATAAAAAATTTTCCTGTAAATTTTGGGAGCTTGTAGCACATGCATGAATCAAATTTCTTGGCCCGCTTAGCTGAGCCAGCTTGTTAGAATGCAATTACATGTGAATTTCCATCCTGATTAAGGAGTAACTTGGAAAACTACAACCAGGATCCTGACCAAGCAGGTAGTTTGCCTGCCATGTAATCAAACTTTTAAAATAATGTATAAAAACATTTACAAAGCGAGTCAATTCACCAAAGCGGGTCAACTCACCTGGATGGGACAAATTACCCATGCAATTGGCTCCTAAATGTCACTCAATTTCTTATTTCATGTAGATGCAAAACCATCGACAACAGTTGTAAAGAAGAAGTCAACTGTGAAACAAAAGATCTTAGAAAAGGAAAAGAAGAAGAAAGAAGAGCTGGCAAGAAAGGCAGAATTGAAAGAGAAAGGACTAGAAGATGATGATGAAGATGATGATGATGAGGTTGATTGAGATTTTTAAAAAGTGTTATTGGTATAAACAAACTAAATAGACTAACAGACAATTCAACATGAAAGAACATTGTATCAACATATCCATGGTATTTACATATTGATGTTAGATATGGCATATGTACGTTAGATATGACATATGTATGTTAGTTATGACATATGTATGTTAGATATGACATATGTATGTTAGATATGACATATGTATGTTAGATATGGCATATGTATGTTAGATATGACATATGTATGTTAGATATGACATATGTATGTTAGATATGGCATATGTATGTTAGATATGACATATGTATGTTAGATATGGCATATGTATGTTAGATATGACATATGTATGTTAGATATGACATATGTATGTTAGATATGACATATGTATGTTAGATATGACATATGTATGTTAGATATGACATATGTATGTTAGATATGACATATGTATGTTAGATATGACATATGTATGTTAGATATGACATATGTATGTTAGATATGACATATGTATGTTAGATATGACATATGTATGTTAGATATGACATATGTATGTTAGATATGACATATGTATGTTAGATATGACATATGTATGTTAGATATGACATATGTATGTTAGATATGACATATGTATGTTAGATATGACATATGTATAGATATGACATATGTATGTTAGATATGACATATGTACATTAGATATGACATATGTATGACATAGATATGACATATGTATGTTAGATATGACATATGTATGTTAGATATGACATATGTACATTAGATATGACATATGTATGTTAGATATGACATATGTACATTAGATATGACATATGTATGTTAGATATGACATATGTACATTAGATATGACATATGTATGTTAGATATGACATATGTACATTAGATATGACATATGTATGTTAGATATGACATATGTACATTAGATATGACATATGTATGTTAGATATGACATATGTATGTTAGATATGACATATGTACATTAGATATGACATATGTATGTTAGATATGACATATGTACGTACTGATGTAATTTTTTATGTTTTATTTTAATTAGTGCATTTTTTCATGTAGGATTCAATATTTTCTTCAAAATTGGATGAAAAACTAAGAAACCAGAAGTAAGTCTATATTTATTGTTGTGTTCTGGTGCATTTTTCTTCAAGTGCCTGTATATGGTATTGCATTTTTTCCTATTTATAGATTAGTAGAAAAATCAGATCTGGAGATTGCAAAGGATTTACTTGGTGACTGTACTGACGAACTTGATAATCCCGATAAAACCAATAAAGGAAATGTAGATATCTTCAATCCAACGAACGAAGAAGAATTTATTGAATTAGCTAAAATGTTGACAGAAAAGTTATCTAAATTGGAGGTATGCCTCCTAAAAGTTTGGAAAAGGTTTTGATTCACACTAACTTTTGTTGTTTTTGCCAGTCATTTGTAGAATACACTGGATTTTTAGAAGTTTTATTTCGAGATTTAGCTAGTGGATGTGAGTGCTGAGTGGATTTCTTTGTTTTTTATTAAAAAATCCTTGTGTCACGAGCGTTGTACAATAAATGATATATCTTGCATTGCAGTGAAGGCAGAAGATGTTAAAAAGTTGGCCACTGTCGTTAATGCCATAGCAACTGAAAAGCAAAAGGCTCAAAAGGTGCAAATTAAGTGAATTTATTTATTCATTTACCAGCCTTCTTTTGTGTTTCTTGCTTGTTTGGTTTGAATCATTGTAGACTAAGCTCTACACTCTATGCTTAAATATTCTTATACTTATTGTAGGCTGCAAGTAAAAAGAAAAAAGGAAAGAAAGCAGCTTTAGGTGGTAGTAATAAAGGTGCCAAGGGTGCTGATCTAGAGGACTACTCTACCTATGGTGATGATTATGACTTCATCTAGGATAAATATAGTTACTATAATGTAAGTCATATGAATATAGGAATGTGCCCATATACCAAAGTCTGAGTTCTGTATCATTGAGGATACAGTCCGCATTTGAGCTACACTATGTTTACATACATGTCCATGTCAATCAACAAAACATGTTTATTACCTAGGAGCACTTGATAGTGCATGTGACATTCATGTGATATACATGTGACAACGAAGCTATCTATGAGAGGATGACTCAACTTCATCCCATTGATAATTTCCTACCCTCATTATTAAAGAGTTATGTTGATATAACTGCAGAAATCAATTGCTGCTTTCCTTTGAATCTTGCCATTTTATTGTTTTGTAGGAAACATATTTGTTTGCTTTAAAAATAGTGAAATTCTCACTCAAAGTTCATTTATATTTATCTTTAAGGAAGGACAAAAATGTAGTTACAATAAACTAAAGGTTTGGAAAGATTTTTTTAAGAAGATTATTATTTGCTTGTGCTGGCACTGCTTTCTTTGCTCTTTGAACTTCTTTGATCCTTGGCTTCCTCTTCACAGACGTTGATTATACTTTCGACTTTACTATCAGGAAGTATGCAGATTTCTGTCTTGTCTCCTTTTCGTGTAAGAGTTGCCATCTCAACTACAGAAAGGTAACAACATGTCCCTATAATCCCGGCAAACCATATCACGTAATACTTCTGGCAAACCTTACCTTTATCTTTCGTTAACTTAGTGACATCCAATGTCTTATTCAAGACTTTAATAGCTAGTTTTAGTGCCTCTGACAAAGGCATTTTCTCTTCATTATACTCTTGCTTTAACATGGACACCGCAGCCTTAAGCAAGAAGAAATTTTTTCATCCAATTCAAGTGTTATCTATGCTTTACATGTTTTACAAATAACTTGCAGAATCATCAATATAATTGAACATACAACACTATTATTTCCGATACAGGTCGCCTTCCAGCCACTGAAATTGCCACTTGGATCACTTTGATACAACTGGAAGCCATAATGCTTATCCCAGCCCATGTAGAGTAGTGAAACACCAAACGGTCGCTTTCCTGTGAAAATATTGTCAACCTTTAGCCTTGGTAGTTAATAAACACTCAATTATACAAGGAGCTGTACCTCCAAATTGTGTATATTCTTGTTTGATGTCACATAGGGAACTAACAAGTTGTTCACACGGTATGGGTTCTTGGTATTGAAGTAAATACCTGTTGAAAGTTTGGTTTTGTCATTTCGTGCATGATTAGTATGTTTCTTTGAACTAAATGTGTCTTACCTTTGGGCAATTAGTCTTAATTCATTTGTTAAAACATTTGCATCTGACGTAATACCAGCGACGCTACAAGCCATGTCACTGTTAAAATATGATTAGTCATTAAATTGATGTTAACAAGAAGGGACACATTATGATCGGTTTCAACTAACTCATGTAATTTGTAAATCTTTTCAGAGAAAACCATTTCATCTAGAAGTTTATTAGTGTTTCTCCTTTCTGCAGCTAAAACAACACCATCATCGGCTAATATACCAAGGCAGATACCAGCAAGACTAATCGCTTCCATAGCATATTCAACCTGGTAAAGTCTCCCTAAAGTAGATACCAAAATTTAGTGAGATTGTGTGCTATTATATGGCCTATCTATATAAGCTTTAATTCACTACAAGCATGAAGATAAATTGTGGAAAATCACTAAATCATGTACCTAAACATTTCAACAAGGGTACTATAAAATATCTGTTACTAGTAGTCAATTGTCATGCCTCCAATTTACTAGTGAAAAGAGTTCTACCTTCGGGAGAAAATATTGTTGTTCGCGTATCATAACGTCGGGACTAGAAACAAAGAAATAAACTATATAACATGACGTTCATAACATATATAGAGTTTTTGAATGAGGCAAACTTTTGATATATTTTCTATAGTACAAACACATACCATGATGTCAATGTGGAAAGTTTATGTAGGAGATGTCTGTAAATCGCATCGTTCAAAATGTCGTGACGACTGGTCACGACTGGCGACGAGTTGTGTGAATATGACTTTTGCTGGACTTTTGTGGCAAAATATTTTCATAATTGTTGCACCATTTCTTATCGTCGCAATGCAGTTTTTTATAATTTTGTGTATTTACGTTGAAATATAGTCTTTGTCGTGTCTGAAAGATGAAAACCGTCACACAAGACGAGTTACTGCAACTTCAACAGCAACCTCAGTTCATCAGAAATATTTGTATTCTTGCCCATGTGGACCATGGTGAGTAACCTAAAATTTAAGCCATTTAAATATGTTCAATCGAAGGGATCCACGAAAAATGTCATAAAAAAGGGAATGCTTGATACTTGTGGCCATTTGCATCATTGCTTGCTGCAGTGCATTGAAAGATTCTGTTGACTGCTATGTGCTTATGATAACTTATCAATTATTTCAGGTAAGACCAGTCTTGCAGACGCTCTTGTTGCTAGCAATGGGATCATATCTAATCGACTGGCTGGAAAGGTATCTTTCTCTGAACGATCTATGATTGTTCATAAGTAGAAATTCACTGTTCGTGTACATTTTGTAGTTGCGATATTTGGACAGTCTTCCAGAAGAGCAACTCCGAGGGATAACTATGAAATCCAGTGCCATCTCTCTACTGTTTAGGGATGGTAATAATCATGTTTAATACACTATTTAGATTATTTCAAGAAACAATAGTTCTTGTGTTGAACTAAATTTATAATTCTACATTTCTAGACCATGATTCATACTTGATAAATCTGATTGACTCACCAGGACATATCGATTTTTCATCTGAGGTTTAATGTCTTCATGTTTTAGAAAAGCATAGTTAATGGTTCTCATAGTTAATGGTTTTCAATGTTTTGAGAAGTATGAATTATTTTTTTTTTCAACCTTGGCTCACAGTATTTTAATTTTGTTTTTACTTGAGGTTTCAACCGCTGTTCGCTTGTGTGATGGAGCTTTAGTTGTTGTTGATGTTGTCGAAGGTGTTTGTCCGCAGGTAAATATAACTTATAACACCTGAATAAAAAGTGAATGAATGAATGAATGAATGAATGAATGAATGAATGAATGAATGAATGAATGAATGAATGAATGAATGAATGAGTGAATAATTTTTATTTCAACATGCTAACCATTGTCAACAAGTGAGTTGTTTTCCTCATGGGGCGTGCGCAAATTTTACAGAAATGAATTTTAACAAGAATACTAAATTAACAAAATACAGTTCCTAAAACATTAAATTACATTCTATAGACTACAAAATTAGGTAAGTATTTACATTTAGGCAAGTCTAGAAGTTTAATTCTTTCATCGCTTCATATAAATCTCTGCCTATTTACACATGCTGAAATAGTTTCATTCAACAGACTCATGCTGTTTTACGGCAAGCTTGGTTGGAGGGTATTAAGCCATGTCTTGTCCTCAACAAGATGGACCGTCTTATCACTGAGTTGAAACAAACACCACTTGAGGCATTTATGCATTTACAAAAAATTCTTGAACAGGTAACAGGTAAATTTTTGGCTCATCGTTGAGACATCTGGGGACGGTTGCGCGAAGCCTGGATAGCGTTATCCGTTGGATAGCAAAATTTTCAAACCTTTAAAAGGTGTATATTGTACTTACGTACGACGAAGAAATTTTGTAATCTTCAAAACAATATTTTATTTCAGTGATTGGACAGTTCAAATCATATATTTTTCTTTTATAAGAGAATTTTTCAACGACAAGAAAAATATGCTATCCAGTGGAAAGCGCTATTCGTTCTTCGTGCTACCGGCCCCTGTCATTGTTTTCATATTGCAAAGTCAGCCTATTGCTTATACTTTTGTTCAGGTAAATGCTGTTACTGGAACATTGTTCTCCTCAGATGTCATGGAAAAGACAAGTTCAACTAAGACAACTGCAAATGATTGCTCATCTCAACAAGAAAGCGGCGAGCTTGTGTTTGATTGGAGTTCTGGACTGGAGGACGTTGACGATTCTATGCTGTATTTTTCTCCAGAACAAGGAAATGTTGTGTTTTCATCTGCTGTAGATGGTTGGGGCTTCAGGTATGGATGAAATTTACAAGAAATGTATCCCTTTAGGATATTCTAGTGTTTTTTGTTTTTTTGATTCTACCATCAGAGTTGACGATTTTGCTGAACTTTATGCCATCAAGATGGGAGTCCGTTCTGACGTTCTCATGAAGACGTTATGGGGAGATTTTTACTTACAAACAAAAACGAAGAGAATAATGAAAGGTGCCCAAGCCAAAGCAAAGAAACCGCTTTTCGTTCAGTTTATATTGAATTATATATGGGAAATTTACGAAGCTGTTTGCGTACGGAGGTAAATGATTGCCAACATTGGTCTTATGTCTTTAAGGATTATGTCTTTAACTTATTCCCGTCAATTATCATTCACTGATTTCACCATTACAAATAAGTTCTTCAGAGCGATATTTAAGTTTGTAATATCAACCAAATCTTTGTTTTAAAATGAATGACTGTTGTCAGTCAACTCTCGCAATGCGGAAACCCTGCATGGTAATGATGACATTTTGGAAAATATCTTCACGCGAAACTTCTATGAAGTGTGTTAAAATTCCTCTCGTTTGGACGTCACATTGTCCTCAACAAATACTATCATTGTTCTTCTCTCAGTACAACTGACAATCTGTATTTTTCATTGAACACAATATCTAAGTCGAACATTTTTTAATTCAAAGGTAACATTGCATGTTTGTAGATGTAAATCGTCCTGTTTAGTAAAGTCCTGAGAAGGCTGTTGTTGTTGATGTTGACTGACGTTTCGACAACCTTAGCTGTAGTTATCTTCAGAGTCAATCTTGACGAAAAACCACTGCATATACAGTGCTATAACATTTTCCAACAAACCTGAATTATTTCTATCGAACATTAGCTGTTGCGGATAGTAAATCACGGTCCTTGGGCTGCCTGCTGAAACGATAGTTGAATGTCATAGTAGTAAATCTAATATTGTTGTCGATTTTTTTACAGAGATAAAGAACGCATCGAAAAAATTGTGAATTCATTGAAGCTAAGGATTTCCGCGAGAGACTCGCGTCAAAGCGACCCAAAAACTCATCTGAAGGCTATCTTTCATCAATGGTTACCTTTATCAAAGACACTTCTTCAAATGGTCGTCAATAAACTGCCATCTCCGCTGAAGATAAACACGGAAAGAGTGGAAAAGTTAATGTGCGGTGGGTTGAGGACGTTTGAATCCTTACCCGACGAAACGAAATTATTAAAACAAGGTTAGCCCGACGTTGTCAAAAAATATTGAATTACGAAACGTCAGTGCATGGATTTTGAAATGTTAGAAGATTTTTGTGACGTTGCTTTTGTTTTTTTTAAGCGTTCGTAAGATGTAGTTCAGAAGACGGTGACCCTGTGATTATCTTTGTAAGTAAAATGGTTGCTGTGGACGAGAAGGCTTTACCACAAAACAAACGAAGGTTAACATACATATTATGTATTTCTGCAGCCAACTCACACCTTGTTTTGATCGAAAGCATTCGAAAGTACACTATTAGGAAATCATAGCTGTTATCTAAAAGATTTAAGCCTTGAATGCGATTTACAATACAACTATGATACTTGGTTTTTCCTTTTGAAACTATCTAGACCGTTGACGCAGAAAGAACTGGAGCAGAGGCGGGAAAAGGCAAGACAGAAACATTCACAAATGTTGTCATCAAAAGAAAATGAGGAACCTAGATTTAACAATCCATCTACAAACACAGAAGCTGTTGCTCAATGTAGTAGAAAGGGTTTATGTGATGATAATGCTGATACGTCAGATGTTGCCATAGGTGATACGAGTAACGAGAGGCCAGCGGACATTACCGACATTGAAACGAGAAATGACGAAGCGGACCAGTTCATTGCATTTGCAAGAGTGTATAGTGGTACCATTACGAAGGGACAGATATTATTTGTTTTGGGACCCAAACATGATCCGGCCTTCCTTGATGGAATACGCAGTGGCGAAGGGAATAATGACGTCATCTCTAATGTTGCAACCGCTGACATGTTGATGAGCAGTCGCATTGATGATAAACATTGTACATCTTTTACCGTGAAGAATCTTTATTTGTTAATGGGTCGAGAACTGGAGTCATTGAAGTCAGTTCCCGCTGGTAACATTTTGGGTATCGGAGGTCTCGGGGATATTATCCTTAAATCTGCTACTATATCAAGTACCGTAGCCTGTCCACCGTTCACCGCTTTACCATACGACATCAAACCGATTGTTCGCGTTGCTGTGGAACCTCTCCATCCGGGGAACATGTCCGCCTTACACCGTGGAATGGGACTTTTGAATCAAGCGGACCCTATTGTGGAGGTTCTCGTTCAAGAGACTGGGGAGCACGTCTTGATTGGCACTGGCGAAGTCCACATTCATCGATGTATTGATGATTTGAAACAGAGATTCGCAAATATCGAATTGAAGGTTTCAGATCCCATCATACCATTTCGAGAAACCATTGTACCCCCTCCAACCGTTGATATGGTTAACGAAGTCATACAAAATGAAAGCTCTGTCCAGATGGGAAAGACTTTTAAAGAAAATAAAGAGGTGAGTGAGTATAGTGATCTCCCTCCCCCATTGGAACTAAATATGTAAAGTTTATTATCAAAAATATGGATCTCCCCCAGTGTGTCACTATATATATATATATAGTTTATTATCCAAAATAGAGATCTCCCTCCCCCTCAATGGGACTATATATGTATAGTTTGTCATCAAAAATACGCTGATCTGTGCAGACTGCTTTCCCCTTCTCCAAATGTTGCAATTATTTGAAGCAGGTGGGGCCGTCTAACCTCATCATGCGGATCCTGTAATAAAACTTACCAAGTCTGGTCACACTGCCCCCGTGCAACATCCTTATTCTCGTTATCTTTATTAGCCTTCATATATTGTTATGTACAAAGCGATTAGAATGAGAACGATACATGTCTCTGACTACATTAACTTTTGGTCTGTCGGGTGTTCAGCATTTTCGATATATCTGAAAATTCATGCTTTCTGTGCATACACATGCTTTTAAATTGTAGTCCTCTGCCGAAGGTTATGATTGTTTTTGTGTAAAGTAATGATATTATTGCCTCGTTTCCGTCCGACATCTACATCTTGTCATTTGTAAAATCGCTTTAATCTCCAGTATTTTTTTGATGAAAATGAAAGAAGAACAACTGAACAATCTTTTTGTGCTAGATTTAAGACAATTGCCGTGTAAGAGAACGATAATTATTATTCAACAGTTGATGAAACTCGTTAAAATGTACCTTGACATCCAGCTGTTTATTGTCGCAATGAATTTGCCATCGTCTTTTCAGGCTCTTGTTGAAGCTACCGTTGTCGATGACAGAGATGTCACAGCTGATTGTGAGGTCACAGCGGACACGAAAAGTGGTGTGTTTCGTGCTCAGACTGGGAACAAGCGTTGTGTTATCAACATCCGGGCTTGTCCTTTACCGCATGACGTCACACAGCTTCTCGATGCTAATGCCGGTCTTTTGAAGGACTTACAATCATTGATGAAAACAGGAACGGGGAAAATTAAGGAAAGTGTCCTGGAGAAGTTAAAGGAATTTTATAAAAAATTAGAGCGCGCGTTCGAAAAGGCTGGTAACGAATGGAAAAGCGCTATGGAAAGGATTTGGGCATTTGGACCAAGACATGTTGGCCCTAATATCTTGATGAATAATATTCCTGATTATCAAAGGCATTCAATCTGGAAAGATATAGGTATGCTTGAAGTTATATTGCAAAAAATCAATCCGAGATTTATTGGATATCTGTAGTAGAAGTAGATAAAGGTCGTTTACTTGTTAAACTAAATTTCAAATTACCCAGGTGAATTTTGCAATGTTTCCGTTATTTGCTTTACATTTCAAGTTTTATTTGCAAACTACTTTGCATGCACAGTGAAGGTGAACCGTGGATTAACTTGAATGTAGGAATAAAAATCAAATTGTTCCACAAGGTTTCTTCAGTTTTGAATACTCATTGATCTCCTCGTTAAAGTAAAATGAAACCTATTAGATGTGTTTCGCTTCTATTTACAATAAAAGAAATCATCCTATAACACATTATTACACCTCAAGTAGATGCTGCTGACTTAAGCAACAGTAATAGCAAAGTATGTTTGCCAACTTTGCGCCGCCATATCAAACACAAGTTTACAGTGCCTTAAGAACGTTTATCGTTTATTTCGTTCTTTATCCAGTGGAAAATAACGCCTTTATACTTTGTTTAGTTAAGCAAGATGGTTCGCCTGGTAGTTGTTATCGCGAGTATGACAACAGCGTTATAAATGGTTTCCAATTAGCTACATCAGCCGGGCCGCTTTGTGAAGAACCTTTAATGGGAGTTTGTTTTGTTATTGAAAATATGACGGTGGATTATAGTATGGGATTTGAAGTAAAGGATGAGAGAGAGCAAATAATAAAAGATGTTGATTGTTCCATGGGTAGCGTTGAAGATATTATGTTACAAAGTCAAAGTAAGTGCTCTTGCGTAATGTTATGCAGTTTCACGACGCCCACCCCCTCCCCCATCCAATTCCATGTAATGTTATGTAGTTTCACGACCCATCCCCTCGTAACCGTCTCCCCACCTGACTATCTACCAGAACGGGCGCGTTCGTTGTATTGAAGCTGAACAACCATCAACACTTCTTTTTTGAAGAGACGAACGAAGTTATAGAAATAGATCAGACCCAGTCATCACCAAGGTTAAGTTTGGATGTTATTCCTCAACATACAAACAAAGATTTGATTTCAGAAGAAGATGATCTTATAAAAAGTATAGAATTTGATAAACTGGCCAACACGTCTGGTGGAAATTCACTTCAGTCGCGTCGAACCTTACAAGGCATTCTCTCGGGACAGATAATTTCTGCTGTCAAAGACGGTTGTCGCCAGGCCTTTCAGTTACAGCCCGCTCGCCTGATGGCGGCCATGTACACCTGCAGCATTCAAACGCCTGCAGATGTGCTGGGCAGGATGTACGGTGTGATTTCAAAACGCGAAGGCCGTGTTCTCAGCGAGGAAATGAAAGAAGGATCTGATATTTTTATTGTTGAAGCTGTTTTACCTGTAGCAGAGAGTTTTGGATTTACGGAGGAGATTAGAAAAAAGACGAGCGGTCTAGCTCGACCACTACTGCATTTCACACATTGGGAGGTTTGTTGATATCAATGTATTCTTTGGGATATCTCACAATTGCATATTACACATTGGGAGGTTTGTTGATATCAATGTATTCTTTGAGATATCTCAAAATTGCATTTCACATTGGGAGGTTTGTTGATATCAATGTATTCTTTGGGATATCTCAAAATTGCATGTTACACATTGGGAGGTTTGTTGATATCAATGTATTCTTTGGGATATCTCAAAATTGCATATTACACATTGGGAGGTTTGTTGATATCAATGTATTCTTTGGGATATCTCAAAATTGCATTTCACATTGGGAGGTTTGTTGATATCAATGTATTCTCTCGGATTGTTACATATTACATGTTGGGAGGCGAGTATATATCAATGTGTTCCTTGGGAAATGTCACATTTATTCCTTTTGATGGTAGTGAGAAAGATGAAATAGCAACTAATTTAGTTTGGTTTGTAAATTACATGGACATTACATGAAGTTTAGCTTTCCTTTCCAATTCTACGTTGACATTTGATCCTGCTCCGTTTTCGAAGTTTATTTTCTATGTTACGTTTAGGTCATCGATCTCGATCCATATTGGGTTCCAACTACGGAGGAAGAGTATGTACATTTTGGTGAAAAAGCGGACAGCGAGAACCAAGCTAGAAAGTATATGAACCACGTGAGACGTCGGAAAGGATTATACGTCGAAGCAAAGACTGTGGAACACGCTGAGAAACAGAGAACATTAAAGAAATAATAGAAAGGATTTGATTGAAGGTAAAGTCGTTTTTCCATATATACGTAGACAATAGAATGTATAAAGTTTTTTCTAACGCTATTTCATCCATCCCATGAAAACAAAGGAAAAAACTAGATTTTTCTTTGGGTCTTTTTCTTAGTGTCGTTTTCCTAGGGTCTTTTCCCTGGGTTCTTTTCCCTGGGTTCTTTTCCCTAGGTTCTTTTCCCTAGGGTCTTTTCCCTGGGTTCTTTTCCCTAGGTTCTTTTCCCTAGGTTCTTTTCCCTAGGGTCTTTTCCGTATTAATGTCCTTAGAAGACCAAGGAAATAGAGTGAATTTTTGAAGTAAACACACGCCAACAACTGCAAATAATCTTTTATAAAACAACAAAAAGTTATTTATTTTGAGTAGTCGAATTATGTTGATTAAAGATGTATAGTGCAGTTGCTTTCAACAATCTTTCCACACTTAGACACTCAGCACTTGCCAAATTTTGTCGGCTCTTTGTTTTGTCGTCAACCAAACTACGACATTTTTTACAAAACTTCATTTTCAATTCGTTGTAAACTTTTCATCATGTGACTGAGTTTGCGAACGAATATTTTCATGAAAAGTTTTTTATGACGGATTACAAAAGGTCAATTTACTGTTTTTACATTTTTCGAATGCATCTTTCGTCTAGATTTTCGACACTTGTTTAACATGATAAATAAATCAATTATACATTATATAATAAATACATTATTAATTCCTACATCGCGCTGTACATCGGTTACCACTCTTGCTCCTCAAAATCATCATCATCCCCATCAAACGAGAGCGTGGTAAACTTGTTCATGCGTTCGAGAGCTTTTTTCAAAAATTCTGCTCCATTTGGAGATAAATCTGCCGGTTTCTCTTTGCGTTCTACTTTACGTAGTTTGACGTTTAGCAACGCTCGGGATAAGTCGTCACCAGACGGCAAACAACCGGACCCGTTGTTCTTTTTCTCCCCGGCCGGCGGCTCACCTTTAAAATAACCAAAACAAGTATTAGTATATTCTGTATAAATCTTTTTTGATGAAATAGAGACTTTGTCGTGGTGACAAATCGGAAAATTGTTCTAAAGATAGCAAATACCATAGTGAATGGAAAAAGTATTATAGATAGTTCTTAAAGAACTATCAACTTATTATATTACTTTTACCATTCACTATGGTATTTTCTACCTTTAGAATCAATCTTTTTAACAAAGTAAATGGTTTGAAGCCAGGAGTATCGTTACAAGTTTGTAGATGTAGATCGTCCAGGTTAGTGCAGTCCTAAGAAGTTGGGGTTAGTTGATGTTAATGTTGTTGTTGGTGATGGTGCTGGTCTTGGTGTTGGTGTTGGTGCTGGTGTTGGTCTTGTTGTTGGTGTTGGTTTTGGTAATGTTGGTGTTGGTCTTGGTCTTGGTGCTGGTGTTGGTAGTGTTGGTAATGTTGGTGTTGGTCTTGGTGTTGGTAGTGTTGGTGTTGGTAGTGTTGGTAATGTTGGTGTTGGTGTTGGTCTTGGTCTTGGTGTTGGTAGTGTTGGTGTTGGTAGTGTTGGTGTTGGTGTTGGTAGTGTTGGTGTTGCTGTTGTAACACATATACCTTTTTTCAAAAGATTTCTGGCAGCTTTCAAGTCATTCATATCTAATGTACGTTGGCTCAAAGATGCAGCTTGATGTGTTGGACCGTTTCCGTTCTTTGTCAATTCTGGTACACTTGGGGGAAGTGGGGGTGCAAGTGGTGGTGGTGGGGGTGGTGGGGTGCAACTGGTGGGGTGGTGCAACTGGTGGGGTGGTGCAACTGGTGGGGTGGTACAACTGATGGGGTGGTGCAACTGGTGGGGATGGGGGTGCAACTGGTGGTGGTGATAACGGGACTGATTGGGGAGATGATGATGGAGGCGAGGGAATTGCTGATGACGAAGTTTGTTGCGAGGTTGTGGGTTGCTGAGAAATATTGGTTGGTGTTCTCGTGTTCCTTGCGTTCTCTTTTGTTGCGTTGCTTGTCTTGGGATCTTTAGTTTTTCTATTTTCTTTCTGTTCTTGTTTTCGCATTGAACGAGACTGGTAACGAGGTGGTTTCACTTCTCTCTTTACTGGATATTTCTGCAATAAAATGAAATCTCGTTGCATTAGCAATAATCCTATCATGGTAATTTTGTCATTACTCATGTCCTTCATTATTCGTCATGTCATTGATTGTGTCCATCATTATCCATCACGTCAATACTCGTATCCATGATTATCCATCATACCTTTTTGTATTCTTTAAGTCTCAGTAATGTTCTTTGTCGCTCTTCGAGTCTCACTCCAATCTTCGGCTCATCTTCTTCACGACGCCTTTCAATTTTCTACCAAGTTAAAAGAATTTATGGAGAAAGATGTAGAATCCGTTGATTTTAACAAATATAAACAATAAAATTCCTCACCATTCGTATTTTGTGATGGCTCTCGTACAGTTCTCTCTCTTCTTCATCCTTAGATTCCAACTTCTTGATTTCCGTCATGCACAATTTCTTTAAAAATATTCGAAGTGTTAATCACTATGAACGAGTGAAAAAATCCCAAATCGATAAATCTTAAACCTGCTTGGTGCGTAGTACGGACTTCTTTCTCCCAGTATTAACGATCGTTTTCTGCAAAGCAGATACTGTTTTCATTTCATCTTCCTTTACCATGGTACCCCTTATCTTTCTGTTCAAATTAAGGCGAGCGAGTTTTTCTGATTTGTCTTGGATATTCAAAAGAGCATCGAGTATTTCTAGCTGTTTTTTGTACACTTGTAGTTCTTTCTCGTTGACCTTTTTCACCATGCTCAAATCCTCGTCCATGACCAAAACATCTCGTCGTATTTTGTCCCGTTCAAACAACGACAGCTGACTTTGGCAGTTCAGTATTTCTATGTCTTCTGTCAAAATCGTTTTCTCCAACTCGAACAGCTTCATTTCAACTGCAGAAATAGAGGAAAATTTTAAGTTGTTGACGAGGCATAAATATACCATTACTTGACTTAAAGATAGCATACACTTTTCTATGGTTGATTTAAGGATAGTATACACTTCTCTATGGTTGATTTAAAGATAGTATACACTTCTCTATGGTTGATTTAAGGATAACATACACTTCTCTATGGTTGATTTAAAGATAGCATACACTTCTCTATGGTTGATTTAAAGATAGCATACACTTCTCTATGGTTGATTTAAAGATAGCATACACTTCTCTATGGTTGATTTAAAGATAGTACACAGTTCTCTATGGTTGATTTAAGGATAGTATACACTTCTCTATGGTTGATTTAAAGGTAGCATACACTTCTCTATGGTTGATTTAAAGATAGCATACACTTCTCTATGGTTGATTTAAAGATAGTATACACTTCTCTATGGTTGATTTAAAGACAGCATACACTTCTCTATGGTTGATTTAAAGATAGCTTACACTTCTCTATGGTTGATTTAAAGATAGTATACACTTCTCTATGGTTGATTTAAGGATAACATACACTTCTCTATGGTTGATTTAAGGATAGCATACACTTCTCTATGGTTGATTTAAGGATAACATACACTTTTCTATGGTTGATTTAAGGATAGCATACACTTCTCTAGGGTTGATTTAAAGATAGTATACACTTCTCTATGGTTGATTTAAGGATAGTATACACTTCTCTATGGTTGATTTAAGGATAACATACACATTTCTATGGTTGATTTAAGGATAGCATACACTTTTCTTGGCATAAACTTCAAAATTAGCGGTGATTGTGTAACAATGTTGTAGCTTGTTATTGTTACAAAGTTTTATTAAAAGATAACACTACATTTTTGCCTGCACTTCTTCGTCGTTTTTCTCCATTTCTTCTCCATAGGAGTAACTCACCTATCATTAATTTCTCATCATCTTCAGTAAACTTTTCTCGATCTTTTTGGAGTTGTGTCAATATCAATTTTAATCTTGCCACAGATGTATTCAACTGCGCAATCGTCATTTCATTTATACTTTTAACCGTTTCAACAAATTGCTCTTCCAACTCAGAGAAAGTTTCGTTGTTATTTTGCATCATGGACGCGGTCATTGATTGTTGATTGAGCATCGAAGCACATTCTGAGCGCTGTCTTTGTGTTATGTCTCTGTAAAATAAAAAGTACGTAGGTGATGGACAAACAAATTTCGTTTTCAATTCCAAGCTTGTTGTTGGAGTCTCAGCAGGAAACCTTTTTTTTTGAGTGTCGTTCAAATGTGAAGAGTACGTTTAGAAAGAGTTTGCCTTCTGGTTTTTGACGTTATCTCAAAATAAATTTCGATGGATTCGATACAAGAAAGTTGCTTGAACTTGAACGTATTTTATTTTCATTTTCACTTAACATTGTATAATTTTTACCTCAGTTCTTCGTAAGGCTCAATGTCAAATGTCAATAATTTTCTTTCCGCTTCACTCGATTCATTTAAATGACACCACAGTTTTTCATACCATGCAAAAAGTGCGTCGACATTTTTCATCTCTTCTTTTTCGACCAGATGATTTTGAAATATCCCAGAACAGTATTGAACCTCTTTGAGGACCTTGTTTCGCTTTAGTTCCATCGTCGAAATTGTATAATCCTCATCAAAAATGATCGGCTCTCCGAAAAAGACGCTCGAAAACAGCTTCCAACCACAATAGATGAAGGCATTTTTGAAGTATTCCTCTAAATTTTTGCAATCTTCCGTACGCACTTTCGTCCATTGAATGTAGCCCCATACACCTGAAATGAAAAGATAAAGTCGTTCAATTCACCGTGTGATCTGTCTATGGTCACTACATTCCAACTCTTAACTATGTGTCAGGGTAGACTGCCTAACTTGGGTCTTTGTACAGTTTGTAGTAGTTTTGGCCTAAACAAAACCGTAGTTAAAAGATTTATAAAATATATTATTTAGTCTAGCTGCGAAGGTGAATTATGTACGAGATTACCTGCATAAAAGAATTTCAGCAAAATGCTAGGTTGCGCTTACACTAAAGGTGAAATTTCCGAAATCTTTTAAAATTCGGAGCCGTTTGTTGGAGTTTGTGTTTTTCCTTAATATGGTCAAAAATATGGCCAATATTTTCATTACAAAAATGAAATTTCGCTATCGTTGAATATAGGTTTTTATTTTCGGTAACTACTCAGTTTAAATCGTAACTTTTGCCTTCTAATATTTACAAGAAATGAATAGCACTATTTTGAATTGTACGACGAATTTCAGAAATCTTGTTTTTAGAAGTGAATAGACGAAGTTTAACTTTGGTGAATAATTCATAGACAAGGACAAGTCATTATTGTAGTATTTCATATTACAGAGCAAAGAAGTTTCGAAAAGAAGAGAATCGTGTCATATAAGAAATATTTTTCACATACTAAATGAAAGCTACAAACCTTGAGGCTCACGTGGTAGTTGTGGCAGCATATTTTTTATCTCTGGATGCACCAGACAAAGTTCACAATGGCGTCGTTGTATTTTTCTAATAGTAAAATTATCAGACCACAACCTCTCTTCGTTTTCATCCCGACTCAAAGCAAGCAAAGTAACATTAAAACACGATTGTTTATCGCTCCAGTCTAAAGCTATAGCTGGCGAGGAGGTGTTCAACGATTCTTTTGTAAATGGTGATTCTTTGAGAGCAACGTATTCTTCTTCTATAGACATTGCTCTTTCCATATTAAGAATTATAATGGTAGAACCAGAGATTGAACCTTTCGTAGTTGTCAGCGATGAAATATAAGCCTACAATAAGAGTCTAAGTTTATGTTTAAACTAAATTGAAAACACTTAGCAAATTGAAAGTGTCATTATATATTATATAAACATTTCCGGATTTCCCCAAGTTGCTTAACCTGACGTAAGTATTGTGCAAATAGTTATCGTTGCGGTTAAAATTTCTTCCACTAAGACTATTGAGTTCCTTCTTACCTTAAGTCTCCGGTTCAAATCAAAGATGACCAAAAATCAAGTACAATAATGAACATATTTTGAAATGTTTGAGCATAACGTTATAACATTTATACCGAAGTTATGTTTTGGTCTTTGTGGATCTTTAAATGGTCAGCGGTTGATCGCGGGCGGCAAAATGGCGTATGTCTTCCCCTCGTGCAGAATATGTTTGATAAGAAAGTTTTGAAAATGAAGCAATTTTCTCAGGGAGTTGATGATGTTAGACGAGAAGGTTTGAATGAAGTTGTTTGAAGGTGACGGATAACTAATAAAATAGTAATAATGAGGTATTTCGTGCGAATATCTGGGGAAAGACGTGTTGGTGTGTTCAGCAATCTTCACTCTTCATTATGGAGTTATGGTCGAAATAGTTCACCAATCTTAGTGACTTCGACGTACCAGGTTAGAGAAATTCAAACCATTCAAACTGTCATTTTTACTGCTGCTTGTTTTATGTCATTAATAATTAAGGACTATTTTTGATAAAATGTTGAAATACCTTTGTATTAATGATTGATGCCTTTCTAATTGCAGAAAAATGTTCGCTATCTATCTGCAAAACGACAACCAAAGCCAAAAGGATTGTTTGGCAAGTTTATTGACAATATCCGTGAAGGTTTTGAAAAAGATAAGGAGATGCAGGTTGGTGGTTTTTGCTCCACAATTTCTAGGAAACATATTTATGAGTTTATTCTTTAGGAAAACCTGAAAAGATTTCAAGAAGAGGCGGAAAAGCTTGAGAAATCATCTGCATTTAGAACAGCCAAACAAAATTTGGAGTTTTGGAGATGTGAAGGTAATTTTGAATAAAATAATATGTAAATCGACATGCTCAAATATGAAATGAAAATATGTGTTTGGCATTGCTCAACATTTGCTTTTCATTATAACACATAGTTAAACATTGTTAGAATTTTTTGTAGCATTGTTTAATATTGTTGTACGTCTTTTAGATGTTGTTCTACATTGTTCTATAATGTTCTACTTAGTTTTATAATGCTCTACTTAGTCCTATAATATTCTACTTAATCCTATAATGTTCTACATTTTCCTATAGTGTTCTACATTGTCCTATAATGTTCTACATTGTCCTATAATGTTCTACTTAGTCCTATAATGTTCTACATTGTCCTATAATGTTCTACTTAGTCCTATGTTCTACATTGTCCTATAATGTTCTACATTATCCTATAATGTTCTATTTAGTCCTATAATGTTCTACATTGTCCTGTAATGTTCTACATTGCCCTATGTTCTATATTGTCCTATAATGTTCTACATTGTCCTATAATGTTCAATATTGTCCTATAATGTTCTACTTAGTTAGACATTTCATTTATCTGAACACAGAATTGTACTGTAATTATCAGTTCACCAAGAATGCAAGCTTGACTTTCTGTTTCATCTTTTTCCAAAGGAACAAACCAGCCAAGGCATTTCAAAGATTTCCTCATTTTTAAAAGATGGTGGTGACCAACTTAGTGAATCCGCTTCAAAAGTAAGAATGTTTCAGATGGAATATTTTATCTTAGATAAAGTATGAAGGCAAAATTGTTTTAGGTTGTCAAAGAAGTGAAGTCCAGTGAAACATTTAGAAAAGGACAGGAGATCTCTGAGGAGGTAAAAAGTATAAGACTGTTAGCAATGATTTTATAATATAACACATATTTATATCAATAAATGCATTCTTTAACAGTTAGGAAGATCTGCTCAAGAAGCGTATAAACAAGTTAAAGAACAAGGTGAAGAAATACGAAAAACTGAAACAGCCAAAACTGTTACCAAGGTGATTATGTCCCTTTCTTACTGTTGGTTTTTTTTCATTTTTGTTTATGTACTTCACACTAATAGTAAACTTTTTTGTTAGGGATTGAAGACGGTCAAGGAAGACTTGTTTGATCCTATTGCAGAAGTATCTAAACCCTATGAAAGACCTCGTATGCCTCTTTGTTACTTTGTTTGCATTAACAGTAAACGAGTTCTTGTGATTCATTTTAGACTCTTATCCTGTTTGTGTATGTGTCTAAGTAGGTTATCAAGAGAATTGATTTTTGTGTTTCATGATTTCAGAGACATTGCGACGAAGAACGAATCCAAATGAACAATACAGCATGAATTTCCAAGAAAAGAAAATTGAGGCTAATGAGTAAGTAATCAATCAGCTGATATTGAAATTATAGCCATGTGTACATTTTGGTCCCCATAAACTTCCCTACTCTTTCTCAGCTGATATTGAAATTGTATCCATGTGTGTACATTTTGGTCCCCATAAACTTCCCTACTCTTTCTCAGCTGATATTGAAATTATATCCATGTGCGTACATTTTGGTCCCCATAAACTTCCCTACTCTTTCTCAGCTGATATTGAAATTGTATCCATGTATGTACATTTTGGTCCCCATAAACTTCCCTGTTCTTTCAACTGTGGTTTGTTTTAGTGAAGCAACGGGTGTAGTTTTGCATAAAGATTCAGTTTGGTATCAACAATGGAAGAATTTCAAAGAAAATAATCCAGTGGTTAATGGTAAATTTGTTCAAACTTTGCTCAAAAAACATGATAATATTTTCTTCTTGAGATCAACAGGTTTCTTTTAAAGGTATATTTGATCTAAAGATGAAATATGATGAAAGCGACAACATTTTCATTCGAGCATCAAGAACTATAACCGACAAAGTTGGCGATATATTTCGTGTGTACCTAAAATTTGATAAATTTAGGAATAATATGGTTTTTGATTCTAAATACATTGTCACCTTTTCTAGAGGATGTGTTTTCACAGTCAGACATGGCAAAGACACTGGCTGAAATAACAAAAATTGATCCTAATTTCAATAAGGATAAATTTCTACATGAATGTCAATACGAAATAATACCAACAGTGTTGCAGGTCAGTGTATACTTTATAGTCAGACTAAATACTGGTTGGTTGTGTTTTACTTGTACGTGTTTTAACAATATTACTGTAATTTTAGGCATATATCAACGGTGACATGGATTTACTACAAGATTGGTGTCATGAAAGGGTAATTCTTATTATTTTGATTCTTTTTTTGGGCATTCTTATCGTATTTTGTTATTAACAGCTAGCGATAAATATTTTTATAGACTTATAGTATCTTAGCAGCTCAAATTGAGCAAAATAAAGCAGCAGGGATCAAAGTGGACACAAAGATATTGGATATCAGGGAAGTTGATGTACGTCATGAATCATTGTATAGTATAATGAGCAGATGTAGTCTGACACTTTGTGAATGTTTATTGACAGCTTGCTTTGGCTAAAATAATGGAGCAAGGTCCCGTGCTGATTTTAACATTTTCAGCTCAACAAACAATGTGTGCTATTGATGCAAGGGGAAATGTTATAGAAGGTGGTGAGGTAGGTGATTTAGATTGTGTTTTATTTTAAAATTTCCTGCAAGTGTTATGCTTTTTTTTAGATTGTATTTCATGTGTAAAGAGAGATAGATGAGAAAACAGTGTTTATCATAAAATACTCTATCAATGCAAATGTTTTTTTTCCTTTACAGAATAATATAGAATTAGTGCACTATGTTTGGGCAATGTGTCGCGACCAGACAATTTTAAAACATGAACAAGCATGGAAGGTGTTAGAGTTTGCTGTTCAACAGACAAGTCAGTATTACTAAACCGTTTCGTGAATTTTACAATCTCTTTATTCCTTGGTGGTCTATTGTCACAAGTCAGATACTCATTATGGCTGCCAGCGATGAAGAAAATGCTTAAGAAAGAATCTCCAGTGCTATCAATTTCAAAGTCTTTGCCAAATTTTCTTTGCTGTATGGTTTGTCCAACATTGGTACATGTACAAATAAGACTGATGAGCTACTAAACTCTGGTTTCAGTCTTTCATTCATTGACATATAGTAAATGAATTCACACAGATATCTGGGAAAATAGATATGTGCCAAAATTTTGGTAATTGTAAAACATAATATGCTTTTAGCCAAAAACAATTTGTTAGTGTATGTACCTCCCAGCATCTGAAGATGTGTCAACTTTGCATGGGTTATCATTTTTCTTCAATTGTTGACATACTTTTGCAACATCAATGTTCGTCTGGTGACATTCATGACCACCTAAATTGCACAATTTGTTTTAATAATAATGTATGATTATTTACATTTTCTTCACTTTTTTTGCTCCTGACAAGCACTGTACAATCAACGACATAGACAGTTAAGCTGATGGCAAAAGGTATTAGCATTGGACGACTATTTTTTCACTTTAATATTATATACCCTGACCTTTTACACATTCATTGTTAGGTGGCCATTCATCGTTGATGTCCGGCAAAGAGTAATTTGAATTATATGCATGTTTTTCAAGTTGAACAACTTCTGTGATAGACGACACTCCGACATGAATGCAAAGCTGTTGTAAAAAGATTTCACACTTTTACCCAAAAACAACTATTGCCCTAGCTTGCGGTCGCCTTAAGTTTCGGTATACCTTGGGCTTATATTTCCTCCATAATTCAGGAACATGTGCAAGCACATAGTCATAACTCACTGGGATTTCTTTTATGACTAAGTTGCCTTTACCATCCAAGCCCATGTTTGCTAACTCCTACTCGTGGCATGAAAAGACGAGGAAATTAGCAGTGGTAATGGTGTAGTTTTATTTACGATTTTTCGTTTTATTTTGAGTGGACTAACTTTACCTTTACAACTTCCCAACTTGCATTGACTTCATGCTCAGCGAATGGACCAAATCCTAACACAATTCTTTGGGTTAGTGTCGAAAAACTTGATAAAATGAAGTTGTAATGACTGACCTGTTACTAGTACGTTCTCCATTAAAGATTCTGACGAGTATATTGAGAAAATAACATTTAAACCTCTACTTTATTCAGATACAGGAACTTGTACATTTCCGCGAAGAGTTAGTCGCGGTAGGACGTCTTTAATTATCACAAGTGTGCCATCTTACTGCATGGTTTTCATCGGGAATTCTCTGTCAAATATTGGCATCAAACCCGTTAAAAAGCTGTGTTTCTCCTCATGAATAAACTCCTTTTTAAATGTTTCCAGGTTTCAACGAATTGGTGCTTTACCTGACCGTTCAATATGGCAGGTCGAGGACGAGGTAAAGGAAAGTTCTCGTTTGATGTTAGTAAAGTTGGCATTCAGAGAGGTGAAGCATTACCAGCATCGCTACAACAACCTCCCCCACTTTATCTTGTGAGTATTTCATGTTTTGTCATTTTCCACTCGCAGATATTGACATGTAGTACAATGTATTTCATAGTTTGTTCAAGGCTCTAGATTCTTTCTTTTTTTTGGAATGCAAAAATCCACAAATATGTTCGAAATTCGTAGAACATGTATTGCAAATGCCATAAACTAGATCTGTTATTTTGGCACTTCAGCCCATCAAATTGAAACCACTTCCTTTGAACAACTCAGAGAAGGAGGAGTATTTGGTTGCTGTAAAGCATGAATTTCGAGGACTGATGAAGGATTCTGATTATTTCATCAAACCTGACATTGTCAAGAAAGGTGTGTTTGACTCAAGTTTCAACATCACTAATACAGGAACAAAATATTGTAAATTTTGTTGACTAGACATGGAAAGATATTCCGACAGGTACAGTTTTCAGAATCCTGCCACTACATCCCCGTATTATTCAAAATGGGAACCAGGTTTGATCAGTTATATCTCTATCTTGTTATCAGATGAATGATGCACTTTCAGCTTTACAATATCTCCCTTAATGTTGTAGTGTGGAAGAGATTTCCTGAAGAACTAAGAGAGAGAAAGCGTAAAGTTCGAGCCAACTCATCAAGTTAGTTTTTTAATGCTCTGCATGTTGCTACTTCCCACTTTGTATATTTTATAACATTTGATGATTTTTTCTTCTTAAATTTTTTCTCCCATCCTGAACAGCCCCCAATTTAAAACGGTCAAGACCTGCACCCAACATTGCTCAAGATGTTGTAGAAAAATTAGATGTAAGTACGATCACTTGTAAATGTAAATCCTGAAATATTGTGAGCCTTGCAAACTCCTTCAAGGTTTCAAAACTGTTAGTTACTGCTCCCGAGAAAGTTAAAGGAATGCAATTCTTGGAGTTGTTGTGTTTCTAGGAACTGGCAAAAAAAGGAGATAATGACAACGAAGAGGAAGATGAAGAAGAAGGAAATGGGGAAGGAGCTGAAGAAATTGAATATGACGAAGAGGAACAAGAAGAGGTTTATCACATTTTGAAATTTTGCTTTTGAGTATGTAGGAACAGTTGCTAAGCATTAAACTTTTCTCAGGACAATGATTACCTTGTTTGTCATTATGATGATGGAGAAGAAGTTGGTTTTCAAGATGACGATGACATGGACGAGGGGCCAACATACTAAACAAGAGTGCTTCAGGTTAAAGCCTTGTCTTTATTCAATATCAATTTACAAACAATGGAAAGATTTGACAATATTGACTTGGACACAGGTAAAAATGAGCAGAGCATTTCAACTATGGAAACTTTTAAAATATTTATCCAAAGTCCAAGTGAGAAATGATCTAATTTATCACCTTAAGGATTCAATAATACTAAAGATCAATCCTTCAGCAATATCAGTTTGCTTTTCATGACTTTCAAAGTTTATTTATATTACACAAGTTAAGTTATAAAATTAGCGAGCTGAGCCTCCATGTTGCTCAGTTATTTTTCGTTGATGGGTGTAGCTTTTCACTATGAGGTCTGTCCAATGCGGCCTTGAGTCTCATCTGATATTCCTTTTCTGCTTCCTGAATTGAAATTCATCAACAGTTTTGATCGTAAAAATATTGATGAATTAGATTGTTTACATTTTTCGGCAGGCTGATTTGGTCAAGCACTTTTAGAAAACTCTAGCAACTATGCTTAACCTCCCTTGGGATAAATCAGGCTGCCAGAAAACATAAACAGTCTAACTCATCTATAGCAGGATAACAAATTGTTGAGAAAGTAGATTTCTTACTTTTCCCATAAGGTAATGTTGTAATTCTTCATCTTTCTCTCTGCTTTTCATTGTTTTCTGATAAGCCACCTGCATCTCTAGGTCTCTTTGATATGTTTTCTTTTGTTGTTTCAAATGTTTACTTGACTCGTCCTCCAATCGCTTGTGCTCTTCCAAAATCTCTTGCATTTCCATCTTTTCTTTTTCGCATTCTGACGCATTTGTTCATTCATTGAAACTAGAACAAAAAAAACAATTCTCAATAAAATGTTGTCAATAAACTTGCCAAATATTTCCCATTAATGTCACATTTACTTCTTGCATTCATCTGTTGTCGTCGACTTTCCACAACATTTTCCAGTAATTTTTTCCTTGCTTCCTTCTCTAGACGATATTTAGCAAGATCTTTCTCCCATTTTAATTTCACTTCTTCTTGAATCATTTCTTCCAATTTTTTCTCCTTCTCGATTCTGTGCGACATATGCCATGAACCTCAAGTTCTCTTCACGAACATCATTCTTTCTCTGCATGTCAGCCTTCTCTTCCTTGCGAGTTTCCTCGAGGAGTTTCTGCATCAGTTGATGTTCTAAGGCAAGCTCTTCGTTTTGTTCCTTTTCCTTTTCTTCTGTCTGGATTGAGGCATCACGGATATGTTTCTCATGCTCTTGTCGTTTCCTCTTTTCCTTCTTCATCCACTCCTCCTCTTCCTTGCGTAGTCTTGTTTCCTCCTTCAACCACTCTGCTTCTAGATTTTTCAACCTTTTTTCTTCTTCTGCCTTCTGTCTGTTTGATTGAATTTGAAGCTGCAGAACCTTGAATAAAGCATTCAAAGCTTGTTGATTGAACGTAGATCAAGAAAATGTTCAAAGAGTGACTTGTATGTCCTAAACAAAAGAAGCGCTACCTCAAGGCATTCTCTGTTTCTCTCAATCAAATTTCTTCCCTGCTCTTCTTCTCGTTGAGCTTTTGAAACACGATCTGTCTCCCATAGTTCACAATACATCTTGTCTATCTCTTTTGCCTCTTCTTCTCTTCTTCTTTGAGGAGGATTTGCTCATACCTCTCATGACAAATCTGATCTTGGTTTTGTTTTGATTTAATGGATCTAAGCTCTTCACATTGATTCCTTGAGTAAATGAAGAAAATATGATAAAATAAACCATTTACTACATCTCCCAGAACTTTCAGGGGATTTTAGAAAAAACCTACCATCATTTTGATAAGCATGTATTTCTGTAGTTTTGAGTTTTTCTTGGTACACTTTTAGAAGTGAGATTACGTTGACTAAGACAGAGATTGTTGGGGGAAGGAGCACTTGTATTTTGTAGCAGGGGGGGAGGGTAAATGATCAGAGAATATGTTCTCAACTAACCTTTCCCTCACAACACATATGTTCACTGTTTTATTTTCAGTTGGGAAATATTGGGAGAGCTGTGCTTATCCCTGGGAGTTCCTGGTCCTTATAACACCTCAACATACGGCATACCTCCATCGTTGTTCCAATTTGTCTTCCACAAGTTCTTTTCTCTCCCTTTCTCTTTTCTCTTTTAAATGTTTAGCTCGTTCTCTCATCTTGGCTTGCCTTTCCAAAGTGGTCTCTTCCATGTTCTCCATTTCACGAATATAATCCTGTTGTTCGGTCAACAACATTTGCCGAAGCATCGAGCGTCTATCTTCCAACGCAAATTTTCCTCCTCTCAACATTTCCTGTTGAACGCGTCTCCTGAGTGTGTTCCTTTCAATACGCTTGTTGGTAGTTTTCAACCATTGTGACTTTAAATCACATTGCTTCAAATCCTTTTTCTCTTTCATCGTCTTCTCAACGTATCCTTCGTTGCGTCTTCTTTCTAATATCAGATGCTCGGGAGGTTTTTTCCTTATTGGTTTTGCCTTCTACATGAAGCAAGGTTAACATAAATTTTTAGACTGGCATTAAACATGTATCAATACCTAATAAACCAACCTACGAAAACTATGTTGGATCTATGCAGTTGTGGTTTTCTTTGATTTATACGTAATCGACAACTATTTCCCGACCGCACCTTCTCTTTTAATCTATCTAATACATGAAAGGTACAATCCAAAATTGGTCAACACTCAAGTCAACACTCGACACGATTACTAGCGGCAAACTTTGTACTTACTATTGCTACTGAATGTGGTGTAGGACCTGTATAATCTCTATATTGCCGAGTATAATCTGCCAACATTTTGAAACTGGCAAAAGAAGAATAAACACAAGAATTTCGCTGCAATATTTTATTTTGAACGTTAAAATGTTCGTCACTTGTAGTTATTTGGTTGCCATAGATACGAAGCCAAAAACTGATCTATATATTTAGCTGACTGGAACGAAGCCTTAAAAAGTAGTTTTCGGTGTCCGTACCCCCTGAAATATTTTACATACTTCATGTCGAATGGTGTCCTAAGGAATTCTAGGTATTTTAAGGAATTTTTTCTTTGACTTTCATCTTTTCAGAAATTTGAAAGAGAGCGTGTATGATACGTTGAGTATTTTGCACTTCAATGGCTTAAAAAGGAAGTGTGTTAGGGTGTTTAATGACCCAATAAATTACTATATGCTATCTTCCTGTCCTTCTATTTACCAACGCCCATGTCACTTTGGAGAAAGAACAAGTTTATTGATCGTAATAATGTGTCTCGTTGAGTAAGTATTGATATTCTAGTCTATGACTGATGAATTCCAGAGAAAATTTGAAATTTGGATTTTTTTTAGTACGTGCATTTTCTGTGGTGACGTTTTGTAAACCGACGACGTTTACGGGAAATGACGAGTACTGAACCGGGGGGGTGAACGATGATAATCATAAGTTGCGGCTTCTTGGAGACGTCTTATGGTTTTATGCTGTTCGGCGATGAATGCTATTGGTATAATTGTTTGATTTCTCACGTCAAATACGCGAACTTGAATAGCATTTGAGAGTTCGCCAACATATTATTTGACTATTCCCATGTTTATTTAACGTGTGCTGTGTAACAGAAGGCCAGAAATCGAACTGGTAACTAACTAGTTCCCTCTTGTCGGAATGCAACAGACAGATGAATTTAAGAAAAATATTCACGATGATTATGACATCGAGGAAGAGTTGGGAAGGTATGTCATGCTTTTAGAATCATCTTAAGGAAGAGATTAGTTATCCATCTTGATGTTTATTCGTTTGTACATCGTCTCAATAGTTGGGTTATTGCTGTGCTTGCGACAGATTGAAGGCGCTCAAAACTCAGACAGTCGACCATTTCGCCTACTTCTCTTCCTACCTAGTTATGAAATGTCGTCTAGAATGCACGAAAATGTTTTATTTTGCTTTCTTTTCAAGCGGACAGTTTGCTGTTGTTCGTAAGATTGTCGAAAAGAAACAGGCGACGAGTTTGCGGCTAAATATGTGCGCAAGAAGCGAACAAAGGCCAGTCGTAATGGGATGAGTCGCGAAGATATCAAACGTGAAATAGAAATTTTACGAATGGTGGACAGCGAAAAGATAATCAAAGTTCACGATATTTACGAGACAGACAAGGAGATTATTCTTGTCATGGAATTGTAAGTTATATCTTGTTGTTTTAATGATTTTTGATTTGGTCAATAAAGTGTATTGGCGGTAGTTATGTCAGTGTAATTCAATACCACAGTTTAATAAACTAGACCCTAAAATTTAAGTCTTTAATGTACTCCTAAATCGTTTGTAACTGTATAATTTGATGTGTTTGTACTAATTGTTGTTAGTTGATATTTTCTTTTGCATTCTAGATTGAGAGGAGGCGAACTCTTTGACTATATTTCAAAGAAGGATTATCTGACAGAGGAGGAAGCTATCGACTTTACTCGACAAATTCTTCAAGGTTTACAGCATTTGCATAGTCGAAATGTTGTCCATTTGGACCTGAAGGTGAGGATGCTTTGAAATTGGCTAACATTGTAGATTGTTTTGTTTTAATCCACTCAATTCGTGCATACAATGTAAAGTCATTACAAACTTTCGGCTCTGTCCATTTAAAGCAACTTGCCTGCCTAAATTTTGCAATATGTAACATTGAAGTGGTTTCACTGTTTGAGGTCATTATTCTGTTTGCTTATTCTTAGGGTATTGTCTAGGCTTTCTCATAAAATATTCATTGGGAGATTATTTAGTTGGTTGATGTTGCGTTGATAAGAGATGTTTGAACTAGAACAGTCGAATTTTGACAGTCCGCATAGTAAACAGTTACAAACGTATGTTGATTTTAGGGGAATAGCATTTTCACGTTCACGCTAAGTTCGTCGAAAACACCAAAATGGCTTCATGTCAAGACTTGGGGACGATCAAACGAGAATGTCTCAGGGCAAAACTATTTTCGTAATGCATATTTTCCCGTCAATTGTCACCCACACAAGAGTCGTATTATTAATGAATGGATAAAGTAGAACATTTCAATGGCAATATCAAGTATTCTTATGAAATTAAGAATAATTTGTGTTGCAATCGAGTAAGCATTATTGATCCGTAAAAAGGGTTTTTTGCCGTGATTTTGCTCCCAAACTCTTTCTAAAATAAGCGACAGCGCGATAACGAACGTCACGGAATGACCTATAAATAGATAACCCGTTGAAATAAACTGACAAACAATCTAGGTACTTAGCAGACATTTGAGTGATATGAAAAATTTTGCGTCGAATGTCAAGCTCATTGGTTTTGCGACAATTTTTTTCATTTTTCATTAATCTCAACTCGGATTGCTTAAAATGCTTGTCGCTTCCTGCCAGTTTTCCTGCATGTGTAGCATTTGTCTGCTTTCTTAACCCACGGCTTTCTCCCTCGCTCGCACATTCACTGGCAGTTAAAGCGTTCGTTTATTTTGTCTAACGTTGACATATGCGTGGCATGAGACAGCGGTCACTGTGGTTGGGCTTTTTTGCTGTGTGTTGAGCCACAGACTTTTGAATCTTTAGTCTGATTTAAAGCAAATCATACTGATCGCTATTGTTATGTCACTCAATGGCCAAGGGCTACGAAATATTGAATTTGGATGACTTTCAACTGAGTCTAATATTTCACAACGACGTGTGCCAATGTGTTAAATACATATTAATGTCTAGTGAACGCTGTGTCCGTTTAACTAATTGAAGATAACACATGATTTGCCATGGCTAGTGTGAAGGGATTTGGTTTTCAACGCATCCTTATGTACGGACTGGTTTTTCACGAGATTTATATTTTTTGATTTTGAAAGCATTCATTTTGCTAGCCTGGGTTTGGTGAGCTTACTCCTCAGGAAGGACCTCTGGGGCAATGTTTTAGACGAATTTTGTATCCCTTTTAAACATTCCCAGCAGTAATGAAGTGTGTGAGAAATTCCTGTCGTGTCTTTGCTAATCTGAAGGAGTTTGCTACCAGCTATTACTTATTTTATTGTTGTTTTTTAACATTTTAGCCTGAAAACATCTTGTTAAAAAATACACGAAGGAAGACCATCAAGTTGGTTGATTTTGGTCTCGCACGTGTTGTGAACCAGAATGAGCAAGTTCGAGAAATAATGGGAACACCTGAATTTGTCGGTGAGTGAGTATAAACAAATTATTTTTTATTTTTACAAAAGAAATAGGATAAGTTAGTTTTGTTTTTCTTTAGCTCCTGAAGTGTTGAACTTTGACACAATTAGCACTGCAACAGATATGTGGTATGTTGGTGGCAAAACTATTTATTTGTGTTTTACGACTCTAAACTTATCAATGTTTGCATTGATTTTTTTTCTAGGGCTTTGGGTGTCATAGCCTATATTCTGTAAGTATTTTACAAGTCATTGGTGTTTCAACACCATAAAAAATTTAGTGTAAACCAAGTCTTGTTTAATTACAATAGCAAATTTCCAAATACGTATATTGATGTTTGAAAATACCTTTAAAGCATCATATCGGAAGACTTAGTTTTTGTTCGGTTAATGGATAGCATTATGATGGACTTAGTTTAATTTCTAATTGACTTTCTGTAATATATTTCACTAGCTTTAAAATCCACCCATAATTTTGTATGTAAGAAATGAAAGATGTTTGCCATCTCTGTACAAGCTTATCTTGTTTGCACAAGCTGATGCAAGCCTAGCTATAGACCAATCAGCACATGAGTTATCTCATTTGCACAAGCTGATGCAAGCTCAGCTTAGACCAATCAGCACATGAGTTATCTCATTTGCACAAGCTGATGCAAGCTCAGCTATAGACCAATCAGCACATGAGTTATCTCGTTTGCACAAGCTGATGCAAGCTCAGCTATAGACCAATCAGCACATGAGTTAGTTTTTTTAGTTTATAATACTATGCAACATGTCATTCTGCTTAAGACTTAAGTTGAAACATCAAGGAATGGGCGCAGAACGTTTCAACTTCCATTATTTGTGTCGACTGTTTACAATAAGTTTTGAGGCTGCTGTAATTGATGAAAACGTCATCATACACCCTGGCTGTTTGCTTAGTTAAAAAAAAATGAATGAATGAAAGTAATTTTCTTCCAGTCTGAGTGGTGCATCTCCTTTTCTTGGTGAAGACAACCAGGAAACATTTACGAACATCATCCAAGTGGACTATCAATTTGACGAAGAGTACTTCTCTGAAATTAGCGACGAAGCCAAAGATTTTATAAAAAAGCTACTTGTAAAAAATCCAAGGTATTAGCCATTTTTCAATATGCCTAAAATGTTCATCAATTATTGCATTTCATGATGATGTATACAACTAGTTTTTGTCATCTATTCCTGCATGCTCAGTTCACCTAAAACATATGTAAGATGACGTATAACTAGTTTTTTACTTGTATAGGAAACGCCCGTCGGCTCACGATTGCTCTCGCCATCCTTGGGTTGAGGATGAGGTAGCTATATAATGGGTCATTTATGGATAAATGGCGTTTTATTTTATCTTGAGCGTAGATCTGTAATTTGGACGGACTTGTTTAGGTTGTGGATAAAAAGAAGAAACAGAGACGGCGAACTACGCAGATTTGCACGTTCAACTTCAAGAGATTTGTTGCGAGAAAAAGATGGAAGGTGATGTTTTTCATGAAAGGTTTTTTAAAGAAATACACTATCCAAATGTTTTAATTTTTTTTCCAGTGTAACATTTGATCGGTTCATATGCCATCTCGTTATTTTAACATATAATCTAATATCGTCGATTCGTCTTCTCTTTAGATGTCATATAACAAGATTCGTGCGATGAATTTGATCGCAAAATTAGGCATCAAACCTCCGCCAGGATTCATCACAGAAATTCCGCCAATGAATGAAGTTGAGAGCGAAATAGTCGAACCCAAGGTATGCATAGAAACTGATGTGTAGATATGTAACTATACGACAAACTGTAGTGTTTGAATTTTCAACTATAGTTTTGTTGTGTGTTTTTTTTTGATTGAAAATTCTCGTTCTTTAGGTTGTCGAAGAGAAGCGTCATAAGGAACATAAGAAAAACGTGTCGACCATTCATCGTAAGAAAAACAAACAATCTAGCACAAACAAACCGACTTCCGAGAAAAACGATTCTCTCAGTCTGAAGACAATGGACATTGATATTGGAGAGGCAGAAAACAACGCGACGGAGGAGCCTGAACCCGAGCTTGAGAATGAAGTGAAGGTGGACGAGGAGGAGCGGGCTTCACCGGATCCAGTTGATTATGGCTGCATGTCGAAACGTGAAAAACGCCGTGCTAGAGGACAACTTTTAGTCAACGATATTGCAAAGTCCAAGAAAGAAATTGACGCTAAACAGTCTGAAGTTGAGCCCGCGGATCATGTCGTCAGTGTAAACAATAATCGTGGTTCATCCGTATTTGACGTTGACGTCACTTCTGAGCCCGTGGAAGAAAAGCCAGCGGAGGAACGTAAGAGTTCGGTAACAAGTACGGTGCATATTGAACGTAAGCCTCTTGCAGTCACCCCCAGCGTGGGTGCTTGTAAGAAGACGAAAGCTAGCCGTATTCCTAGTACTGAAGATCATTATTTTGTCACATTGAATGCTGCTTTACTCCAACAAGAGGAGTCGATATACACAGCACGGATACAGAGTCCACGGCCACGCGGGATACTAAAACAAACGACTGGCACACCGACCGATGTTAACAAGCCAACAGAGAATAAAAAGGTGTCAGATTTTACCGCTGTTGTACAAGTGACGAAGAACAAGGACACTGGAGATAAAAATGATACGACAATGACAACATCTCCAGAAACCGCTGCCGAAAAGGTCGCACCTGGTGCTAGAGAGACATCTTTAACTACATCCCGTTCTTCTTCGCCGGCGCTCAAAAAATTTGAAAGTGCAACTTCTCCGAAGAAGAAGTTTAATCCCCCACCGTGGCAGAAAAAACCCAGCCGTGAGAGCATAAAAGTGACGGCTTTACAAGGCGTATCTAATGTTTCTGTCAAAACAAATCGCTTTATGACAAATGGAAACCAGGCTTCGAGGCCACGGTCGCCATCCACCAGTAATCCTGGAGCTATCAAGACATCGAATGTTCTTGGAAAGAGTAAGTTGTTTCAGAACAATGGAAATAAAGAAGAAAGTAAAAAAGGAGCTGTCGGTAAGATCAACTCCAATGACACATTAAACAAAGTTTCTTGTGATATAAAGAGCGATGGCGTTTCTGACATTTCTTCTTGTAAAGAAAATGATTTGAGTGAGACTCACACAGCTAGCCCCGTGAATTTGGATGGAGAAACGAATGCGAAGCCTGGAGACGAGACAAAATCGAAACAATCACCAGATATTGAATCTAGTTCCGACTCCACTCCAATGAAAAACGGTGAAATACCCGAGAAAAGTCGACGCGAATCTTTTCAAAGCGTGCTCACACTGTCTCCTGTCAACAAAGCTGAAGTCGCCGAAGAGAAAGGAAATCTCACTCCGGATGTTAAAGACGAATTAAAATGTGTATCAACCAATAGTTTAACCGAATTTACCATCAGACCTCGTGGAAACTCGGGCGATAATGACAAACCAGGTGGATTTGATGTTATGCTGTCTGTTACTTCATCTGCCGACATAGAATCTCACGAAAGCGGACCTGAAACACGCGTGGCTTCCACGCGTTTTACCTCCTCGTCGTCGTCACTGCCTAATCCCCGTTTGGGACTTCTTAACGGCAAGTTGGCATCGCTGAGTACGAATGATGTAACAGCCGTTGAACGTCACAGCGTGGCGGCTCATGGCGGAACTTACACACCGCAAAGAGACTTCTCAAAATATCTAAATAATAATGCATCAAAATCGTTTAAAACGAAGGAAGTATCTAGTACAAACCAGAAACCATCGTGGCAGATAAACCGTAATAATCCTTCTGAATCCACCATTATACCTATGAAGACCACTGCCACCCCTACGACGAAACCGACCTCGGTTACTGCAAAGAATGCGCCTGTCAAAATCTCGATTGCAATGCCTAAAGGTAAGAAACCTAACATTGTTTCCTCTGGTTACGTGCCAACAAGATCGTTTGGTTTTGCAACAAGAGGCAGTTCACAGTCCGAAGTTGTCCCGGAAACAACAAAGTCGGATGATTTAGCGAAGTTGAACAATAACGACGATTCTAAACGCTTGTCACAGTCATCCTATACTAGTGAACGCTCTGGGAGTTCGGGTTCTGACGAACTATCTGTTAGCAACATCACTGCAGAGAATAATGCACTGAATCGTACTGTTTTTTTGGAAGCAGCCAATAAGAATGAAAATCACACCGGTCATTCACGTGATAGCTTCGGGGGGAAGAAAAATGGAAAGCTACTCGTGCTTCCGGAAGGAACCGAGAGGATTCCGTCGACGAGGGATCGCGATATTCGGATATCGTCGAAAAACGCTCCCCATAAGAAGAATTTCGTTAACGTGCGTTCAATGTGGGAAGGAAAGTAGGAATTGAGAAGTTATAATAACGAGTTGATTTCATTCAACATTTGAGGTGAATCGTGTAGTTTGTAAAATAGATGAAAATGAAGTGTGAAGGCAAGGAGGCGCAACGCATTGGCAATATAAATATATATAAATACAGTATCTTATTTTTATATGAGTTATTATAAAAGAGACTTTGCACTGTATTAATTTATATTAAATATAAAATTTTGGGAAATTTTTGCACATATCCCTCACAATACGATCAATAAATTAAAAGCAGTATCTTTGAAATGGTTTTTTTATGGATTTATGGATCAGTTGGGATGAGGATTTGCGAGAAGGAAGATTCATCGAGAACATGCTCTCAAGCTCAACTATCAGTCTGAGTAAGTATGTGCCAACTTGATTGAAGTCAGTTGTTCTGTTCCCGATAAGGCAAATCTGACAGAACAAAAAACATTCGCACTTCAGATATATCATTTCTATCGAGTATTGTGCTTTGAACGAATCATAAATCCTGTTATATAGGTGATTATCGATATGTCTGAACCTGAAATGACCCAATGAACAAGAAGGTTTTATTCAATTACGCTGTTCTGTATCTTCTACTTTTGGCCTATCGGCGCACAGATTTATATGTGTTTTACGTACCTATTTCTTGTATCGATGGTCCTCGTTGTTTTTGCCTAGATGAAGTTTCGTAATTGCATGCAGCCCGAGGTGGATTGTGCGGGCTCATTTGTCATCCTATTCCTAATGCCTAAATTTAAAATTTAAATAGACGCCACTGCTCCACAGCACCGACTGATACTTGTTAGGAGCGAAGTTTGTCAATATTTACCGTTTTCGACATCGTTTTCTCAGGTGAATGGCCTCCTTTGACGGTCTGAAAAGAGAGATAAGAGTTCTTGAAAAACTATTCCATTCAGAACACGAAAGATTTCGCGTAAAAGCTTGCGGCCTCGACGAATTATGCTGTCAGTTTATCGGTGTCAATTCGGAGACATTTGTAGTACGTTGTACGATTTATGTAAGTAACATGGATGTTGTTGTGATTTGAGTAAAAACATTTATAAGTTTGTAATTCTAACTGTCCAGGAATCGTATCCGTCCGTTGCCCCTGTGTGGTTTACTGAAATGGACGAACAAGCCGTTGTCGAGGCTGTGGAGAAAGTATCAGAAATGGCGGAAAGTCAAGAGAAAATATTGGTAATTTCTACTGTTTCTAAAATTTTTATTTTTATGTTTTCCACTATTGTGTAGCCTTTCTTAGTCACCAGTTGTACTACAATAAAGATACAGGCGTACGCCCGTCGAAAAGATATTATGAGATGGAAAGTGTTCTCAAGCGACCATATTGTGATATTGTATTTCAGCTCACCGAAATGACGAAATGTCTTCTGGAAGAGTTGTGTAGAAGGCTTGATTGTAGAACTCCAGAGATTTTGATCAATTTGGACGAATGGGAGGTAGGTAGTCCCGAAAGATTCAATATCATCTGCTCTTTTTTGTTATTATATATTAATATTTATGGGTCTTTGGCAGTTAATATGTTTCTATGGCAGATATATGTAAAGCATTGTTGTGCATGCAAATTGAACAGCTGTAGTGTTTTGCATACTGAAAGCCTCTGATTTGCAAACCTTGTTGAAATTAATTGTGAATTGACACTTACAAGTTACGTAAAATAGAAAATGATATGCTCATTTAAAGCATGTGGCTGTCGGACAATGGTCATGTCATTTGATTTAATGTCCTGGACATAGATCATCTGCAATTACAGAATGTGCTTTTGTTGAATCTTTTTTTATTTTTGAATGTATTTTAAGGATGATACTTCGACAAATGATGAAAAGAAAAAGCTTCATGAAGTTGAAGAGGATGACGAATTTGAAGATGAGGTTGAAATGAAATTTCATTGTCATTTTCTGTATCATTGTTAATACATACATCGTATTATCCTTTAAAAGGATGACTTTGATGACTTTGATGACAATTATGGGCTGGAGGAAAATTTGAGGTTTGGCCCAGTACTTTATAAAGCATAAAGTGCCTACATCTGGGTCGGGGAAATGATTTCTTTTGATTTTTAAATCAATTTTAAGAAGATATGTATTTGATAGGATGAAAACATTTTGTTCGTGGACTTTTTCCATCTAGAATTATGTGACTCTCAAAAAGTCCATGAAAATTATCATCCCATCAAATATATTGCAAAAATTTTTAGAAATGATTAGACCTTTTGGAGAAGTTATTTTCCTGATCCTGATATATGTACATAGGCACTTAAAATACTAAATAGGTTAGTGCTGTGCATCGGAATACTGGAGGCCGAAGTTTCAGCTATTTTTGTCTGCCAGAGCCAGAGTTTGTTCATCTCCATCAAAACTCTGGCAACAGTTGTTTGTGCTGCAAAATACTGTCAAACTTTGGTAAACGTGTCTGATCAAAACATTTTTGTATCGAAGAACAATAACTATCAACTAAAATTGAAAAATATTTTATGCATGACACCACATGATTCAAAGTCGGAGTGCGGAAATTTAACTTTACATATAAAATTTTTACAAATAATATACCTTAAACTGTTGCTGAAAAACCAGAGTTTGCACAGCCCTAAAATATGTGTAAAAATCCCTCAATCCAAGATGTTTTATCTGTTAGAGAGGAGAAAGATAATTTTCCTGATGAGATGAGTGAAGAAAACTTTGTATTTCTTGAGAAACTGAAATTGCGACAAAGGGAAGAACATCTTCAGGTGAACAGTAATGACTGCAAACTGGTGCCCAGGCCATTTTTAGAAATTGTTTTTTTCCCCAATGGCAGGGTGTCGTGTCAGGATCCGTTCAAGCTAGTGATAGATTGATGAAAGAATTACGCGAAGTCTACCGATCGGAAAGCTTCAAAAATGGTAAAATTGTGTGCATATGGAACTGAACTTGTTTTTTTGCAAATTTGATAGGATGATTGCTACATATGCAGTTGTATCAAATCAGATCAATTTGCCAAATATTTTTATTGGTTTGTTTTTTCAATTTTTTAGGACTATATCAAGTTTCGTTGAATGGTGATAGTCTTTACGATTGGGATAGACATTCTCAAGTATGAAGCATATTTATTGATTCATTTTGATTTAAGTATTTAAATAACTCATTTGTATTCATTACATATGTGAAAATAATATCATATCCTAACAATGTCATTATTCCATGTTTGTTGATGTAGATCGTCCAGGTCAGTAGAGTCTTGAGAAAGACTGTTGTTGTTGATGTTGATTGACATTTTGACAACTTTAGCAGTGGTCATCTTATCTTAGCAGTAGGTAGTCCAAGGCAACATGATTAAGGTTGTCAACATCAACAACAACAGTTCTTCTCAGGACTCTACTAACCTGGACGATCTACATCTACAAACATGTGACGATACTCCCGGGTTCAAACCATTTACTTTAATGTGATTGTTTATATTATTCATGTGTTGTATCTATTAAAGTGAATGGTTTGAACCTGAGAGCATTATTACATGTTTGTAAATATAGATTGCTTATGTTAGTAAAGTCCTGAGAACGACTGTTGATGTTCATGTTGAATGCATCAACTGTCCTTTTTTCAGGACTTTACAAACCTGGATGATCTACATCTACAAACATGTTGTATCTATATGTTACATGTACTCCTCAATATTTCTTTGACCAACTCCCTGAAACTTACAATTTATGTATAATAAACTCGTGTAATTTCGCACACTTTTTTAATTTCTGTCTTTGTACAATAGGTGCGACAATTTATTTTTTTTTTGTTTTAGGGTGGATTCTGATAGCCTGCTTCACAAAGATTTGATTCAATTGAAGAAGAAATGTGGGAAGGGAAAGATTACATTAAACATGACATTCACTGTATGTATTCTTGATATGACCTCCATGTGTGGATATCTTTATAGTAGCACTCTGCACCTTCGTCTCTTATTAGGATTGGGTGTAGTAGTGTTGCCAAGGGCCGTTTATACGGAGAAAGGGGGAAATTTTTTACCAGCGTTTTGGTGGGGGAGGTAGAAAATAGGGAGATTCTTGTAGAAAAAAGGGAGCTTCCTCGTTGATGATTTGGAGACTCTCCTAGCTGATACGAAGACTATACTTAAATATAGGTAGCGTTAAAGATAGACAATCCCGAAGAAATACCCATTTCTATCGAACTTTAGCAATTTTGTGTAAACTCAGTCCATTATATTGTGGAAATTCTACATTTGTCATGCGTTGGTTTGTAACTTGCTACTGTTTTTTTAGAGTAAATTTCCTTCGAACCTCCTTTTGTCCGAATCGTTTTCCCATAATTCATGCAGGGTAGGAAGCAGTGTATTGTCAATCAACAATAGATTTTGATGCTTCTTATAAAATTTCGGGTTTTGTAGTTATGTTCTGAGTGGTGGAGCGATATGTATGGAACTTCTTACCGCCCAAGTAATGTATTTAATCTCTTTTGCTGACCTTAATGTTCATAGGCATATTTAGGGGTTTTACATGTTTGTAAATGTAGATCGTCCAGGTTAGTATAGTCCTGAGAAGGACTGTTTTTGTTGTTGTTGACTGACGTTTCGACAACCTTAGCGGTAGTCAACTTCAGAGTCAAATGAGGAGTAAACGTTGTGACTACCGCTAAGGTTGTCAAAACGTCAGTCAACAACAACAAAAACAGTCCTTCTCAGGACTATACTAACCAGGACGATCTACATTTACAAACATGTAACGATACTCCTGGGTTCAAACCATTTACTTTAGGGGTTTTATTGATTCTTACACATCTCAAAAAGTTAGTTTACAACTTCTAGTTTTTGACGTACAAAAGTGTGTCCGAAAATATTAAACCTCAAACACATAATTAGAAAAAGACAGTGCACTCAAAGTCCTTGATCCGAAAGTGTGCGCTTTCTTTCAACAAGAATATTGGAGTTAGATTGTATATACATTGTAATGGATCGTCATAGAGTTTTTTTTGCGTGACATGCCGTGTTTATAAGTGTTTAAACATGGCACAGGTAGCTACAAGAAAAGTATATTGCAGTATAAACTCAAATAAATTCCACACATTTTATACCTCTTAGATAAAAAAATCTCTTCGTACTTCTGCAACTATATTGATTAGAATTACATTTTTAACGTGAACTTCTATTTAAGACAACAAACAATGCTGTTTCATACACTTCAAGTTGTTCAGCAAATGATTTTTCTTTATCTTCATGTTCACTAGGGCTGGAGCAGCGCCTATAGCATCGAGTCTCTTATCGTACAAATATCAGCGACTCTTGTCAAAGGCAAAGCGCGAATAAACTTTGATGAAAATGAAGTGGTATTGAACGAGTAATCGCGTTTTTTCATCATTGAAAGTTAATGTTTGATAAAGTGTTTTTGTTCAACGCAATTGTTTTGTAGACAGAAGTATACAGCTTGAGAAGAGCACAGCAATCCTTCAAGTCTTTAGTCCACATTCACGAAAAAAACGGTGTGTTATAAAGAGAATTCATCAATTTTTGTCGTTTGCCAGGGTACAGCTGTCCGGTAAGAGGGGGGAGGAGGTGCTCTAGTCTTGGATTGGATTTCGGTGGCTTTTAGTTGCCTTATCATGTCAGATTAGTTTTTATATTCTGTTGCCTTAATGAATGTGAGATTTTTTTGGAGTGCGCTTCATTAAACAGTGATCATGATCGATTTTCTCTGATTGTTTGGTGTGTTAGTATTTGGCTGGCAAATTTTCACCCCCCCCCTATTCAAGGCTAGGAAGGGGGGGATGTGTGCAGCCATCTTCTATATCCATCTCTGCAACTGTTTACAGTTATAAATATCATAGGTTCAAAGAAAGAGAAGAAGAAATGCGGTCCATATATTTATCATGTATCATTTAATTTAAGGTTGGTTTACACCACCAAACGACGAAGGCTGATACGTCTCCATTGGTTTCGTCTTGATTCAACGCAAAATGCTTTCCATCATGATTCATGTAAGAACGTTAAAAGACGTTGCGTCTGACTTTCGTACTATTTTGCGTACGTTCAAATTCAACGCGGTAATTATGCGCGACATCTGATGTTCGCTTTTCAAATCTGTCCAATGAAGCTTTTATTTACAGTGTATATGTTTTCGACGGGAAAAACGCGAAGAGTCTATTAAGTATTCTAATTGAGATGTTAATTATTGTATAATTTGCGCCTTTCAAAAATAAAAACAAAAGAATTTTAAACGGATTTTGTCTTAAAAGGAAGTGGAAGCACCGTTCATAGCAACCGTCCTGTCGTTGCTGTTGCTAGGTATTATATAAACATGCTGGGGATTTAAATATTTGAAAAATGATTGGGAAAATGATCGCTTTTATACACAATGTAAGGTTATGAATCATGTCTTGATAAGTAAATATGGCAGAAAATGAATGCGACGAGGAAAAGAGTGATATATGCGAAACAGAACTTCGTGGTGAAAACGAGTTTGATGGAGAGACCGTTGAAGAGCGAAGCGCCAAGGAAAGCTCTGGTTTTCTAGATGAAGAGACCATTATTAAACCATCTAAGAAAACCAAAGTGAAAAAACGACGGAAAAGGTAGAGCGTTTCTGGCTATTGTTGTGACACATATTTTTAATTGTCTTGATTGTCTGTATTCAAAAATACTTCACAAAATCTTTAATGGTATTTTGCCATACAACGTTGAAATGTATCCATATGACAATTTTTACTTGTGAGATATGAGCAGCCGATGAAATGTTTTTTTTGTTTTTATTACAGATGGCTCGGGATTAACTTGTCAAATTGTAAATATGAAAGCGGTGAGTTGTATTTTTGTGAGGCTTTGCGTTTTTTGGTAGAAGCCATTGAAAACTTTAAAATGTGGGTCAAAGTCAAACAGATTCAACATATTTCTGCTTCGTGTCGCTTTACCTCGAAATTTTAGTTTTGCGTTCAACAGTTTTTCTCTTACTGCAGTAAGGAGAGTTGCTAAACGTTTTGGGATGAGAGAAGTTGGTGAAGACGATGATTGGTCATTGTTTTGGACAGATTATTCTGTGGCGCTGGAGCGATGTATGGAGATGAAAAAATATCAAGTAGGTTTGACATCGTTACACTTCGCAATCTAACTTGCGTAGAAAACCTGCAACATCTTCATAATCTCTTTTAGAAAATCAACCATTTTCCTGGCATGATAGAAATATGTAGAAAAGACTTACTAGCTAGAAATATGAACAGATTACTGAAACTTTTCCCCAAAGAATATCAAGTATTTCCAAAGACGTGGGTTCTACCTGCAGAGTACGTGAAATTGCTGAGCTATCTTCGTCTCCATGATTTATCGTTAATTTATGATGATTTATCGTTGTAACATTGATCTTGTTTTTTGTTCTTTTACAGCTACGGGGATTTTCAAGCGTTTTGTCGACAAAAGAAAAACGTTACGTTCATTTGTAAACCGGAGAGCGGATCACAAGGAAAAGGGATTTTCGTCACGAAAAATCCAAAAGTAATTATGAAATATTCCGTCCGTATACAATAAAGCATACTCTCTTTATGAAATTGTAAAATTCAAATCGTCTTTAGGATGTCAAACCAGGCGAACATATGATTTGTCAACAATACGTCTCAAAGCCATTTCTCATCGATGGCTTCAAGTTCGACCTACGAATATACATCGTCGTTTCGTCTTGTGATCCTTTAAGAATTTTTGTTTATAAAGATGGTTTAGCAAGGTTTGCTACGGTCCAGTATAATGAACCATCGAATGGAAATCTGGTACGTTTATACGAAACGAGACGAAAGATTTTTCAAACTCTATCAGAATTGTTAAAACTTGCCAGCAGCTGTTGTTTCTAAACTGTAAACTTGAGGATTGAATCTTGTACAGTCAGTGCTGTAGAACTAAATTTATCAGATGCTTTTTTAAAATCATCCATTTCAAAGGTAGAAGGGGTGCTCCTCTCTCAAGCGCCCCACTTCTACAGCAGTGTGTACAGTGTATATGGGGTTTTACTCTGGCAGAAGATAGAAAATAGGATTCTGATTTCGTGAATGAGTTTCGTTTACGTGGAGCAGTGAAGATGCATGAATTTCTTGTGCAAACATTAAGTTAAATTTGGTGTTTAATGAAAATTTATAAAACTAGGAATAAAGATTCAGGGTCTCCTGTGTTCTTCGGCTAGGAATAAAGATTCAGGGTCTCCTTGTACTTGGGGAGTTTTGCTATCATTTCTTTGTTATGTATGGCAACACTTAGCATAAACGAAACCAAGTTCCAAAATTCATATTTAACTACATGCTTTGTTTGATTTTGTTGTTCTCGACAGTCAATTACACCAGTCTTTGTTCAAAAGCTTAGAATTTTTCAATGCTATAAGCTGGGTCATCAATGTCACAACGTTTGTCTGTCAATTTGACCATCTTTCCATCTTCTAGGATGATATGTGTATGCATCTGACAAATTACGCCATTAATAAACACAGCAAGGATTTTGATAGAGATGAAGAGTCCGGTAGTAAAAGGTAGAAAATTCGTCTTTATGTTTCATGATTCTTATTTTACCTCTAGTTATTCTGTCTATAGGCAATCGATTAAAATCAGTTTGTTTATTTGTTATTTTCCTTGTAGACGCATTACAACTGTTGATAATTGGTTTAAAGAAAATGGCTATGACGTCAAACAGATATGGGCCGATATAGAGGTGAAGATACCACGTGCACTTTGTGGTTTGAACACCAAATGCACGAATGTTTCACGTGTTTGCGATAGTTAGCACTATTATCCTCTAAACCTCTTGACGTCACATTATGCCGTCACCGCACAGTCGTGACGTAATGTTGTCTTCGGGTTAATTTTTTATTATGATATTTGCAACTGTAGGATGTGATGATCAAGACTCTGATCACAGCTCATCCGATTCTTAAACATAACTACCGCACGTGTTTTCCTAACCACACGAAGGGCAGTGCTTGTTTTGAAATACTTGGCTTTGATGTATTACTGGACAGAAAACTCAAGCCTTGGGTTTTGGAGGTGAACTGAAATTTCAACTTTGTTATAGTTCATTCTTATAAGAATAGATCGATAGCTTATTGGGGTATAAGAACGCACTCTCGTCTGGTGCATGTGTTGAGTTCAAAGTAAGGTTTAAATGATGGTGCGCTGAATGCATTTTATAATGACTAAACGAAGCATTTATATTTTGGGAAATTCTCTGAAACAGAATCTGCTTGGCAACATTTCAGAGATGAGTTGCACGTAGCTTTTATAGCGTGACCAATTGGATTGTAAAATTTTCAAACTTGTAGAAAAAGTGTTTCTATTTTCCTTACGACCAAGAAATTTTATAATCTTAGAAGCAATATTTTATTTCGGCGATTGTTCAGTTCAAATCGTATATTTTTCCTTTTTAAGAGGTTTTTTAGTGTTTAGAAAATATTTTATCCAATATGTTGTCCTTTGTCTATACGGTATTGAGCATTTCTTTAACCAGAACATTTCAATCATATCTACAAATGTGTTGTAACAGTAGATGTTCACAGGAAGTTAGACACTTCAGACAGTCACCTAAAAATCTTCCGAATTTTCACATAAAAAATTTGGGGTGTGAAACTATTGACTTTCTTGTCTTTCTTTGGAAATGCATCACGTTTCAATTGTGTGATTTTAAGCTATAACTTTTTTTTGTGATTTGTAAATTTTCAGGTAAATCACTCGCCCAGTTTTCATACGGACTCAAAACTTGATAAGGAAGTAAAGGAAGGTTTGATCTACGATACTTTGAATTTGGTGAACTTTCACGCTTGCGATAAGAGGAAATGTGCTGAAGAAGACCGAAAGAAAGTTCAAGAAAGATTACTTAAAACGAAACAGCTAAAAGATACAAAGTGAGTGAAATATAGTGAAGTTTTTAAATTTAAACAAAAGCGACTTACGTTGCTAGAGAGATTGTCATTTTTTACTGTTTCTTCAGGCGAGAAGAGATATGTGGTTATAGCGCCAGTAAACAAGAACAAATACTTAGGAACTACGAAGACTTGCATCTTGGAGGATTTCGGTAAAGATCTTCAAGCTTAAATTCTAGATATAGTTTTCATATTCCATATGTAATGTTTCTATGTTATCGTCCTGGTCGGTTTGACATCTCGGGAGACTGAAACCCACACTATCTTGGATGCCCTTTCTTGCCTAAGTTGATGTTCTCTGGAAAATTTCTATTGTAATAGATGATGTACTATAAGATTAAACATTTTCAGGCGCATTTATAACTGCAAGTGCATCAAACAATATAGGAAAGAAAAGATGCGACTTTTGTCATTCAATAACCAGAACCAGTTCCTAAACACAATTTTCCCTATGTGATTTTGCAGATGAAAACTTCTGTCGTTTCTCTAGGTTTTTTAGCCGAATACTTTGACAACAATTTTTTACTACGTTGTTTGACATCTTTAAAAAAACCAGTAGTTATATATTTCATATTATAACTGGCCACATTCCAAAGTCTGGAAATGCTCGTTGTTTATTATTAATGACATTGGTTTTGTCCTCGCTTGTATAAGCAGTTGAGCGACTTGACTGTGGTGTCGCTCGTCACTTCTTGCTCTTTTTAGTGTGCAGCCCCAGGGCCCAGGCCTTTTGGACGCACCCCTTAATCTGATCCTGGTTATTTTCTATTTTCACAGGCGAGTTTATCCCAACTCCAACGAAGAGTTATACGAGAAGTACTTTGAGAATTGTGGCTCACTTTTTCAGGAAACTACCGCATCAAAGGCAAGAACGGAATGCTCAAGGTATTTGTCGAAGATTGTTCAAACATTCTTGAACAATATCTAATTCCTTCTTCTCTTATCAGAATACAGCGTGAGCTTATCCTTGCGAAGCAACAGGAGATCGAAATGATGCGGGCGAAGAATTGTGGACGCAAACCGCTGATCCGTGACGGTCTGAGACCGGAGAGTGAAGGCGCGTTTACCAAGAAGGCTAAACGACTGATTCGAGCGAAAATACATCATAAATATTTTGTAAGGAATTCGTCTGTTTTTGATGAGAATTTTCTTCCTTTTCTGTTTTTGCTTTAGTATTTTTAGTTTGTCTGTTTATATAGACGGTCTTTTAAGAAGAACTTTCTGTCTGTTCATGTAGACGGATTTTAAAATAAAACTTCCCAGCGAACGTTTTTTTACGGGACTGTTGCATGTAATTCACATAAGGTTTTTGTCCGAAGAAAATTTAAATCGTCTCGAATAAGTATAAAATATGCAAAAAATATTCTTTTCTACGACAGATTTTCGATTGTAAGTTCTCGAACTCATCAATTATTTCTAATTATCTTTCCCAGGGAAAAGAGTGGCAATTGAATGGTGTTGATACCTCCAAACCAATGGATATCACGGAAGAAGAGGAGCTTAATAGGATCACAGGCATGTTGCAGCGGGATAATCTCGTGCGTGGTGTTGGAATCGTCGAAGAAGTTTATAAATTACTTCATTGCACTCCTGGAACAGGTGGCCCTAGAAAAGACTGCACTCACCACTCGGTAAGCTTGCCTGACGAGATAATTAATTTAATATAAAATAATTTAGAACCACAGATTCTTTGATGTGTTTATAAATGGAAATGTTTAAAATAGAAGCAGTTCGTTCGATTCAGAAGATTATAGTGAAAATCATCGCCGTTTGTATTATTTTCTCTGGTTTTTTTATAGCATCAACCAAAAGACGGTTGTGATTCAAAGACGAATGCCCAGCAGAGCGAAGATCGACGTCATCATTACGTCATCAACAATAACGTCATGCCGAACCCGAGTTCTACGTTGAATACATACTTAGTATCAAATAGTGTCATGCGACTTAACCAGCGATCATACCCAACTGCCCCTTATTTTCATCGTTCTGAAAACAGGCGAACACTATCTACGACAGCTGGTAATGATGTCAATGCAGGCAACATGTCGCCTGCAACATATCACACGAATATCTTCAACAAACAGCGTTACTCCTCCCGTAAATTATCAACAAACAGAGATCTTAGCCACAATATTGTCGACATCGATGTGCGATACGACAGCAATGCATTACGGGATACCTATTTCAACCCCAATCTCCGGCGTATACTCAGTGCCAACAATCTTAAGATACAACAGAACTCTGGGTACGTTCGAAGTGGAAATGTTATCCAATCAGATTTTTCGTCACTCCATAATACATCGAGTGGGGCGATGAAAGTCACTACACACAAGACGCCTCTTGAGCTCAGTGTCATATCAGGGCCCGCTCCAATATCGTATAAAAATACACAAAAAACTGGAGGACACAGTTCGAATAGTGGAAGGTGAGAAATGAATGAGATTATGCTAAGAACTGACGTTTACGTGACTGTTCTGTTGTTTTTCCAGAGGGGAACGTATCCAATCTACAACAAGTGATTGCAAGGTATTTCGCGGAGTTCAATCATCCATTAGTGTTCATTTACATGTCATGATAAATTTATCAGATAAAACATACTCCAAAAAAAACCCCCATAAAACGCAAGATTTGAGTTATCAACAAGAGGCAAAACTTAAAAACAATATTTCGACGTCGTTTTCAAACAAATTATTTTTCAAAGTAAGTGATTATTTACAAGCAAGCGTGATCTTTTTTTGCTTTTACGTGTTTCACTTCCACGTAACGACTATTTATGGTTACGCTTGCATGTATATATAATCACTCGAATTTTTAGCTTACAAGATGTTTTCTGGAGTGGGTTTTTATCTTGTAGATTACTTCTCTGCTTTATGCAGGTGTAAAATCTAATTAAAACAACATGTTTATCTAGTATGTCGATATGAACCGAGACCATCAGACTTTCGTTCTTGGCTAATACGACAACTGGCAAACAACAAGAGGAACTCAATCGCCCAACAAAGAAATCTCCATAGTCCTTTTATATGTAGTTTTTTTTATATTAAAAGTTCTGTATTGTATTAATGTAGAAGTTAACGCGAGATTGTAGCTGTGTATGGTAACTACAAATCTTCATAATATTCCAAAGATTTCAGACTATAGTTTGTATAGTGAACGGAGGGGACGTAGCTGGTTGTAACTTGATGAAGTATGAACCACTGGAAGTTTTTACACCAAAATCGATTTTTGTATGGTAGGGATATTGACATATATTAAGGGACATTACGTGCATTTCTATTTCATAGTAGGGTGCAATTTTACCAGAGAAATTTATGCATTAGTTTATGCCACTGATGTCTAAACAGAAGAACCCCCTCCTCCAAGCATAGCCTCCGAGTACTCAACTTTTAACTCCAACCACCCACCCCTCCCTCTATCCTTGTAGCAAGCGTTTACACGACGCATGCGCAAGATTACCAACATGGCGGGCATGAAAGCATATGGAAAGAATTGCAGAAGTTTGATTTCAAGACTTCTAATAAACAAAATACATGTAATGAAGTATACAGTAAGGTCGGTTAAGGAAAATACAGTAACTGTCCTTGATAATACATACAGCACAGACGATATGACGAACGTTACATCAAGTATTTTGTCGAAAGTTAACAAGAAGAAATTACACAATTTGAGCGACCATCCTCTGAAGATTTTAAAGGATACAATTCATAATTACATGTATGCCAATCACCGGACGCGTTGGGGATCACCCGTTTTTACAATGATTGATGATATAAGTCCGGTAGTGTCGGTTGAACAGAATTTTGATAGTTTATTGGTATCAAAGGACCACGTTTCAAGGTTAAAAAATGACAATTATTACATCAATAAGGATGTGTTGCTGAGGGCTCATACCACAGCTCACGATAGCGACCTATTAAAATGGGATTGGATGCTTGGCTTTTAACTGGAGATGTATATAGAAGGGATGAAATTGACAGTACACATTATCCTGTTTTTCATCAAATGGATGGCGTACGAATGTTTGTTAAACACGAATTGTTTCAAAATCATGAAGTAAGTCAGCTTACTAGGAATCAATCTATTGTGTTTTCTGATTTATGATATGTTTCATTCTAACTACCGTGAAATTGGCACCACATTGGGCACCACATTCAACACAACATTCATCACAACATTCATCACCACATTCAACTAAAATTTATCATTCAAAATGATAAATCAAAAAATCGTCTTTAAAACACGTTTTCCATCAAATACAACAGTAAAAATAATTCTTAACTGTTTATTACTATTTTACAGTCCATAAACATCACAAAAAATGTATAAAAGTCAAGAAATTGAAGAAAACACTAAGATTTATATTACAGTGTACTTTCCATTTCTCTTAAATAGCCTATAATTTAAAAACTACACGGTAGAATTTTTAAACTTGGCCAGAATATAGATAATTATATTGTCTAAAATATATCCAAAATCTGGAGGTGGCACAAAAATAAATGATAGAAAATCATCGACAAAGTCGGATGACACGAATGCGCGTAATATAATCTTATATATTTAAGTTAAGAATTCCGGCTCTTTAACAAACAAAGCCTTATAAATAAAAACTACACGGTAGAAATTTTTAAACTTGGCCATATTGTAGATATTCTTATTGTCTATGACATATCCAAAATCTGGAGGTGGCACAAAAATAAAAGGAATAATATTCCTTGAGAATGTACTCTGGTATTAACCGTGAAGTTGGCACCACATCGACAAACAGCTCTATAGCTAAAAAACTACACGGTAGAATTTTTTTAAACTTGGCCATATTGTAGATATTCTTATTGTCTATGACATATCCAAAATCTGGAGGTGGCACAAAAAAATAAATGATAGAAAATCATCGACAAAGTCGGATGACACGAATGCATGTAATATGATCTTATATAATTACGTTTAGAATTCCGGTTCTAAAACAACAAAGCCTTATAAATAAAAAACTACACGGTAGAATTTTTTTAAACTTGGCCAGAATATAGATAATTATATTGTCTAAAGTATATCCAAAATCTGGAGGTGGCACAAAAAAATAAATGATAGAAAATCATCGACAAAGTCGGATGACACGAATGCGCGTAATATAATCTTATATAATTAACTTCCTATATCCATGTAATTTTTCAAACAAAGGCCTATAAATAAAAAACTACACGGTAGAAATTTTTTAAACTTGGCCAGAATATAGATAATTATATTATCTAAAATATATCCAAAATCTGGAGGTGGCACAAAAAAATAAGTTGTAGAAAATCATCGACAAAGTCGGATGACACGAATGCGCGTAATATAATCTTATATAATTAACTTCCTATATCCATGTAATTTTTCAAACAAAGGCCTATAAATAAAAAACTACACGGTAGAATTTTTAAACTTGGCCAGAATATAGATAATTATATTGTCTAAAATATATCCAAAATCTGGAGGTGGCACAAAAAAATAAATGATAGAAAATCATCGACAAAGTCGGATGACACGAATGCGCGTAATATAATCTTATATATTTAAGTTAAGAATTCCGGTTCTTTAACAAACAAAGCCTTATAAATAAAAAACTACACGGTAGAAATTTTTTAAACTTGGCCATATTGTAGATATTCTCATTGTCTAAAATATATCCAAAATCTGGAGGTGGCACAAAAAAATAAAAGAAATAATATTCCTTGAGAATGTACTCTGGTATAAACCGTGAAGTTGGCACCACATTCGACAAACAGCTCTATAGCTAAAAAACTACACGGTAGAATTTTTTTAAACTTGGCCAGAATATAGATAATTATATTGTCTAAAATATATCCAAAATCTGGAGGTGGCACAAAAAAATAAATGATAGAAAATCATCGACAAAGTCGGATGACACGAATACGCGTAATATAATATTTAATAATTAACTTCCTATGTCCAGGTAACTTTGCAAACAAAGGCCTATAAATAAAAAACTACACGGTAGAATTTTTTTAAACTTGGCCATATTGTAGATATTTTTATTGTCTATAATATATCCAAAATCTGGAGGTGGCACAAAAAAATAAATGATAGAAAATCATCGACAAAGTCGGATGACACGAATGCGAGTAATATGATCTTATATAATTACGTTTAGAATTCCGGTTCTAAAACAAACAAAGCCTTATAAATAAAAACTACACGGTAGAATTTTTAAACTTGGCCAGAATATAGATAATTATATTGTCTAAAATATATCCAAAATCTGGAGGTGGCACAAAAAAATAAATGATAGAAAATCATCGACAAAGTCGGATGACACGAATGCGCGTAATATAATCTTATATATTTAAGTTAAGAATTCCGGTTCTTTAACAAACAAAGCCTTATAAATAAAAACTACACGGTAGAATTTTTTAAACTTGGCCATATTGTAGATATTTTATTGTCTATAACATATCCAAAATCTGGAGAGTGCACAAAAATATAAAAGGAATAGTATTCCTGAGAATAAACCGTGAAGTTGGCACCACATTCGACAAACAGCTCTATAGCTAAAAAACTACACGGTAGAATTTTTTTAAACTCAAGTATATTATAGAATTTTATATTGTCTAAAATATATCCAAAATTTGGAAAGTGCACAAAAATATAAATGATAGAAAAACATCGGCAAAGTCTGATGACTCAAATGCGCGTAATATAATCTTGCATAAATAAGTTAAGAATTCCGGTTCTTTAACAAACAAAGACCTATAAATAAAAACTACACGGTAGAATTTTTAAACTTGGCCATATTGTAGATATTCTTATTGTCTATGACATATCCAAAATCTGGAGGTGGCACAAAAAATAAATGATAAAAATCATCGACAAAGTCGGATGACACGAATACGCGTAATATAATATTTAATAATTAACTTCCTATGTCCAGGTAACTTTGCAAACAAAGGCCTATAAATAAAAACTACACGGTAGAATTTTTAAACTTGGCCATATTGTAGATATTTTTATTGTCTATAACATATCCAAAATCTGGAGGTGGCACAAAAATAAATGATAGAAAATCATCGACAAAGTCGGATGACACGAATGCATGTAATATGATCTTATATAATTACGTTTAGAATTCCGGTTCTAAAACAAACAAAGCCTTATAAATAAAAACTACACGGTAGAATTTTTAAACTTGGCCAGAATATAGATAATTATATTGTCTAAAATATATCCAAAATCTGGAGGTGGCACAAAAATAAATGATAGAAAATCATCGACAAAGTCGGATGACACGAATGCGCGTAATATAATCTTATATAATTAACTTCCTATATCCATGTAATTTTCAAACAAAGGCCTGTAAATAAAAAACTACACGGTAGAATTTTTAAACTTGGCCAGAATATAGATAATTATATTGTCTAAAATATATCCAAAATCTGGAGGTGGCACAAAAAAATAAATGATAGAAAATCATCGACAAAGTCGGATGACACGAATGCGCGTAATATAATCTTATATATTTAAGTTAAGAATTCCGGTTCTTTAACAAACAAAGCCTTATAAATAAAAAACTACACGGTAGAAATTTTTAAAACTTGGCCATATTGTAGATATTCTCATTGTCTAAAACATATCCAAAATCTGGAGGTGGCACAAAAAAAGAAATGATAGAAAATCATCGATAAAGTCGGATGACACGAATGCGCGTAATATAATCTTATATATTTAAGTTAAGAATCCGGTTCTTTAACAAACAAAGCCTTATAAATAAAAAACTACACGGTAGAAATTTTTTAAACTTGGCCATATTGTAGATTCTTATTGTCTATAATATATCCAAAATCTAGGTGGCACAAAAAAATAAAAAATAATTTGAGAATGTACTCTGGTATAAACCGTGAAGTTGGCACCACATTCGACAAACAGCTCTATAGCTAAAAACTACACGGTAGAATTTTTTAAACTTGGCCAGAATATAGATAATTATATTGTCTAAAATATATCAAAATCTGGAGGTGGCACAAAAATAAATGATAGAAAATCATCGATAAAGTCGGATGACACGAATGCGCGTAATATAATCTTATATATTTAAGTTAAGAATTCCGGTTCTTTAACAAACAAAGCCTTATAAATAAAAAACTACACGGTAGAAATTTTTTAAACTTGGCCATATTGTAGATATTCTCATTGTCTAAAATATATCCAAAATCTGGAGGTGGCACAAAAAAATAAATGATAGAAAATCATCGATAAAGTCGGATGACACAGTCGTAATTACGACAAAGTCGTAATTATATAAGATCATATTACATGCATTCGTGTCAT